TGTAATTCTCCCTCTGGACACGTTCCATGTTTTGTGCTGGAGAGTCCTTATAATATATAAATGGCTCCCAATAGTCTGCTCGTTGAAGTCAAGTAGCAAAGCTTTATGCCACTTGCCCTTTGCTTAGAGCAAGGCATCATTCCCTCTCCGAAAGATGAGGTTCTGTTTAAAGTAAATGCCACCTCCTTCAAAGTGTCAAGGTGTTCTTTTAAGTTGTTCCGATGATTAAATGCATCTCTCCTCTTTGTGTGAACACATGCTGTTTTTCTTTTTTTATCTCTGCAAACTAGACGCGAGGCTCGAGGGCTGGATTTCACTTCCTACCAAGAACACAAAGCGTTTCGGCTGGGACAAAAAAGTAACGTGCCCACCACCGTATCCCGTTTCTACAGCTTTGTTTTCTTTGTAATCACAATTACTGATTTTACCCCCCACCCCCCCTTCCTTTCTGAAGTATGTAGTCGTGAGCAGCAGGAAGATTCTGTTCTACAACAGCGATCTGGACCGAGAGCAGGCCATCCCATACATGACCCTGGACATCGAGTGAGTGATTTAAAACGTGCTTTTTAACATACGTTTCTGGTTATTAGAGTTGATAATGATAAGAGTTGACTGTAAATACAAATATTGGACTGAATGAAATTTTGACCTGATGATGCCGCAACGTGGACTCTTAACTCTTTCCTTTCCCTCCTTCTCACAGTAAGCTGTTTCACGTCCGACCTGTTACACAAACGGATGTTTACCGCGCAGATGCCAAAGAGATTCCCAGGATATTCCAGGTAATGAGCTATGCCACTTCCTGTTTCCCTCCCCTTCCTACGCCACTGCCGCTTAATTTAAATATCTACCTAAACAAAATTCAATTGAGTTCCCTTTTCTTCTTCTAGATCCTGTATGCCAATGAAGGCGAGGTCAAGCGCGAACCGGAGGTTGTAACGGAGCCGGAACGGGACCGTCCCTCCTACATCAGCCACAAGGGTCACGAGTTCATCCTCACCCTGTACCACTTCCCGTCCAGCTGTGAGGCGTGCACTCGGCCGCTGTGGCACGTGTTCAAGCCGCCGCCGGCCCTCGAGTGCCGCCGCTGCCACACCAAGTGCCACAAAGATCACTTGGACCCAAAGGAAGAAGGCATCGTTCCCTGCAAGGGTCCGTACGCTCAGTCAGTCGGACAACCGCGCCCTCTGTGTGGGGTGAATTCGCTGATGCGTCTGACTCCCTTTTTCCTTTTACAGTGAACTACGACATGTCCACCGCCAAAGAGCTGCTTCTGCTGACCAACACTCAGGAGGAGCAGCAGCGCTGGGTCAGCCACCTGCTCAAGCGCATCCCCAGGAAACACCCCACCCTGAGTCCCCCCCCCGCCGCGCGAAACAACCTCCCGGAACCGATGTCGCGCTCCTCCCCTCGGGCCTCGCCGAGGGGTTCGCCTCGTTTGTCCCCCCACCGCGGGGCCATCAAGTCCAACAGGCAGCAGCAGCAGCAGCAGCCGTCGGAGAAAACCAGGTGAGCACCGAAAGCTGCATAAAAAAAGGTTTGTTGTTTTTTACGACTGCAGCTAATTTTGGGGTCAATTTTTTTATTTATTTTTTAAAGCCATTTACCCTTATAGGATGTAATGCTTTTAACATGTTTAAAGTATTTTGCATAACTCAGGACGCAGCATTAATGCTCCAACAAACCATTACTAGAGTCACTAACTTCAACCCTCTTGGTTTGACCAAGACACTCGGTTAACTTTGCTCCCTCGGTCCAAATCTAACCGGCTCTCATCCCCCAGCACTGGCCCCATGCTCCGTATCATCCTCCACTGACCTTTCACCTCTGACCCCACCATTCTAACGTCTCTCGCGCCGGGAGACTGTAAGTAGCAGAGCTTGTTGCGCCTGTCCCTGCATAGAGTATGCGGCGCCGCTGTGTCCATTAACACCGCAACAACGACTCGTGGGTCCACGCTGCCCCCGGCTGAACCCATGTTGACCCAGAAGTTATGAAGCATGAAAGGCCTTTGACCCCCTAGATGAACCACTTACTTGATACCGTTTCAGATTGCTTGAATTTGGCCCCAAAGACTGGAGTTGGCCGTTCGATGAAGGCGATAATGATGATGATGATGATGATATGTTCTGACGGAAGTTAAAGACGGGGTACGGAGGGTAACTGAACCCTTACATCCGGGTTTGCATTTAGTAGGACGCATGTTTTTGTTTGATTTTAAAATGTTCAGTGGAGTGGAAAACTAACTTAGTGTTTGAACAATATTGTTGCAACAACAGCAGTTTTGGCGATTTCTTCACATGCTTGTTTCACAAAACAAGTGGAAATAGGGGAAATCACTGCATGTTTGCCGGAAGTAACGTATTCGAGCACGAGTCTGTCAGATTGGGGAAAAACACACATTTGTGCAGCCAGTTGTCACTGCTGAGCCTGAACCTGGTTCTGTCCAAAATGATCCAAATGCATCCAGAGCACCACTGTAGTTGAATCAAACAAGTCTTTGCCAGGGCAGCTGCACCCCCCCCCCCCCCCCGCCCCCACCGCCCCCCTCTTCCTGACACTCTTCATGCTGAGTTGGATGGAGCTTCACATTCTTTGAAACGAGTGGTGTCAAATCTCCTCTACCAACTTTAGGCGAATAAGAAAACGAGTGTAAAATGTGCTTTAATATTTCACCTCTTGCAGACATACAGGCTAATGTTATTCCCACATCTGTCATTCTTTTTGCCAGTTCTTTTTTACGTTTCCCTCATGCATTGTGTGTTTACCAGATTGCTTCCTCGTGTGTGATTTTGTGTGGGCGTGCCTTTTTGAAGTCCAGCCATTCGCTTGGTAGTATCCTAGGTTTTCACAATTTCCTCTTTCTCTCTCTTCACAGTTAACCCGGGCTGATCGAAGACGTGTCTTTTCATCCTTGTGGATTAATGAACGCTCTCTGGAAGCAGTGCCTACATGTGTTATTTCTTTAAAAAAATAAAATTAAAATAAAACACTAACCATGGACAGAAACATTCATAGAAACTCGGTCATTTTAAGAAGAACATGAGTGTTCATATTAGAAGACTTAATCCAAACAACAATAACACTACACTGTGATTAAAACTGCCTTATTGTAGGAACATCATGAAAAATGTGTTTTTTATTCTGTCAGAGGCAGTGACTCACATGTATTTGTCCGTGAGGTGTTGAGCATGTGTGTGTGAACATTTGTATATAGGATCAAGAGGTCTGTCTGTATTGTAACACAATCAAGCTCAGTATTAGATCAGTTAGCAGAACATTTGATCATATATTCATGTCTTCTAAATGAATACAGTTTATTACACATAGAATTATTACAACATAAGACTGAACAATGTGTGTTCCTGTCATTCATGAGACATTTTAATAAATTCTCTAACCCAGAAAGTCGATAATTAATGTTTCATTCATTGTTTCTTAAAATTCGACATGTAGGATTTGTATCAATATGCATCTGGAGTGTGAACTGTTCGCCTTCCAGTAAAATGTAAATGATGCATTAAGCATCAAGAATTGGAGACAACTGGACGTTTATTTAGTGTTTTATCAGGTAGCTCTGAAGGGTCTTAAGATATACTCCTTGGATATTGTACAGTTGGCTACACTTTTTAGTAATACTAAAGTGATGTCACAACATAGACATTAACACACATGCTACAGGAATACTGTAGTGATGCTTCAGAGGTGTTACATCCGACTCCTTTCAGGAGACTATTTGAACTACAAGAGAATAAGTCTGTCTCCATCTCAAGCGCATGTGGAGTGAGTGGGCTTGGCTGAAATAAATCTTTCAGAACAGCCTTAAGCCAACTGGCACTCTCCATACATAATGTACTGGTTCACCATGCTGCCCATCTGCTAGAATCATATTTCACACTGCAGGTCGCATCCATCCGTCGATCAGCTGTGCGACTGTATGTTGCGGTTAAATAACCATGAAACCTGCTGCACCGACGGACGGACCCGTGGGGAGGGGGCACGCAGATTTCTTCTCGTGATTCGACATTAAATGCTCCCGTCTTTTCATTTCTATTTCTAAAAAGGATGTTTTTGCATTTGGTGTTAAGTGTGTAGAACATGCATCACTACTAAGTGTACTGTTGAGTATTTCCAATTGATGGAACGTTATACTTCTACCTCAGCTGATCGCTTTGCTTCAAGGCGATTTACACATTTCTAACATTGAACATTAATGCTTGTGTAATAAAAGGGCAATGTACTTTATAGTAGTATATAACCGTAAGCATAACTACTTTAGATAGTGCAAGATTTTAATAGATTTTACGCATTGGCAAATGAAATCACTGAAGCATTTTATGACATGATTTAAATATCCCGCAGGGAAAATATTGTTCTTTATAAAATAGCTGAACATTTGCAGGAATTTGTGTTTTTGTTTCATTATACACTTCTGAGGTAGATTTACTTTCAGTGAAACAGTGTAGCACAACATCTTCAATCAGAAGATCCAGCCAGCTACTAAAATGAGAATTGATTTTAATTTGAATATGACCTGGAATAAAGTGATTATTAGTGTGGATGAAGAGCTACTCGTAATGGAGTATTTTAATGAAATGAAATGCAATGAAAACAGGGTATCAAATTAAATTAGGCATTTATCAACATCTTGTTCAGTACTTCCTGCCATATAACTTGGCAACTTACTTTAACATTCTGTGGCATGAGCAGCTTTTCTAAAGATTACACACAGAAAAATAAATAAAATCTAATTTTGAATTGCTCCTACTTCTGCATTGCTAAAAAAAAACTCAAATCTTACACAATGGCAATCCATACCTCTACATCCTATTTTGGAATCGTCAGTTTCTAGAAGAACAGTAACATTGTATTAAACAGAAAAAAAGGGATTTCATGGTTTTGAGTTTGTGTGCTTTCCCCACAGCTTTCAGTAACAACAGTCTGTTCCAACTGCCCGTCCTTGACGAATGACCGTCTAGTCAGAAGGTCCTTGTTTACTCAATAACTAATGATTAGATGCAGGGATTCTGCTTCCCAAATGTCTCATTTGCGAGTGACAGCTGAATCTGAGGACTAGTCTGGCTGCTGCTCCTCCAACTAGAAAACAGTAGGTTTTATTCTGTGAATTGAAACAATGAACTTTGTGTGCAGATATAGATTTGACCTTCTTGCTCGTGGTGCTGAACCTCATAAGTACAAATTAAAATTCCCGTGTGATGTTTTGGTGAAATACTTCAGCGGGATCTTCCTCATCTCTTAACTCGGTCTCCTCTTCTTCTAGTAATGACGTCCTGGTGCGTCCTTGCTTTTCTCTTTTTGGCACATCTGTGCTGCGGCGCTCTGTCCTGCCCTCCACTTTGCAAATGCTACCAGAGAAGATCTGAGGTGGTCTGTAATGAGGTCCCCCTGACAGAGTACCCCTCAGAGGGTCTCTCAAAGTCCACCACCATGCTGACCATCCAGTCCACGAACATCACCTCCATCTCCGAGGAGCAGCTGAACGCCACGCCCCTGCTGCAGGAGCTCCACCTGTACGCCAACCACCTGCACAGCCTCTCCGCCCATCTCCTCAGAGGTGTTCCTCACCTCAACACCTTGGATCTCACAGGGAACCGACTGTTTGACCTGCCCGCGCGCGTTTTCGACCACGCGCCGCTCCGCAACTTGGTGCTGAAGGACAACGCGTTTGAAAAAGCCGATGCCGAGTGGCTACCTGAAAACGGCAGCGTCACCTGGCTGGACCTATCCGGGAACCGTTTGACCGAGGCGCCGACGGCGCTGCTCCAGAAGCTGCCCCACCTGGAGAACCTGGAACTCGCCAATAACCGCCTGGAGCAGCTCTCTGCAGATTCTCTGGCCAAGTTGACCAAACTCGAGAGGTTAAACCTGCGCGACAACAAGATGAACAACCTGGATGCATCTGTACTTCAGAGCAACCGTAACCTCACTTATCTGTTCCTCTCTCGGAATAACCTCAGCACACTCCCCCAAAAGCTTTTTCAGGAGCTCGCTGAGCTCAAAGTCCTGACTCTGGATGAAAACCAGCTGAGCCACATCCCGGCAGGTTTGCTGGATCCTCTGAGCTCCCTGGACCAGGACGGGCTGGACCTGACCTCCAACCCCTGGGTGTGTAATGGGAAGGTGAAGTACCTCTGGAGGTGGCTTCAGAAGAACGTGAAGAAGGTCTTCCTGCCAGAGACCGTCCTCTGTGCGGGACCGCCGTCTCTGCTGGGACGCTCACTCATGTCACTTACAGAAAGCGACCTTGAGTCTTAGTGTCTTCCATTGTCATACTGCATATTAACTGACACGGTGATATACCAAAACCTACGCTTTTGTGTATGTAACGTGAATGTGTAATAAAAAACGCGTATGAGTAAAGACAACCTACTATAATATCCGTCTTCTCCGTCTTTAATTTCATTCCATCTACCAGCACAGCACACAACCTCTATTTTTTTAAGGATTGAAGATAAAAATGTATTAATATATTATACTTCTTGAAGCTCAGAGACGCATTTATGCAGCATTTTGGACTGAGCCCGGCTAACGGTTTCCAGCCTTTTGCTCAGGTACGATAATTATCTTCAGCCTGAGGCTTCATCTGGAATTGAACACTATGACAGTGGTCTCAATATTCTTATGTAGCTCTCAGAAGAAATGCGAATAAGCATATTTTCTAAAAAAGTCAAACCAATGACAAATCCAAATACATGTGGTTAATTAAATCCATTTACATTTCAGAAAGGAGATCATTCTGCATATTAAAGATTTACAAACAATGAAAAACAAATATTTTTACCGTTGCATAAAAATATTGATTTTCGTCTTTCATATTTGGAAAGCACAGAAAGAAGTAACCACTGGTTGATGAGTTGCTGTATTTGCTCGGTTTTGTTTGCCCATTGCAACATTTTGTCCTGATTCACTGCGGAGAACAAACACGCTGAACATTGTATGAAACCAAGCCGCCGTGAAATAACTGGAAATGCCTCTCAGGTAAGATTACTTGTAACTAACCGATTTTAATTTCTCGTTCTGCGTCTCTCACCCCCCCCCTTTGTGTATGTTCCCTTCATGCAGTGCTGCGACGATGAACTGGTGGATGCTCCTGACTTTCACTGCGCTGGCTGAACGCGCCCACTCTTGCCCAGATCTGTGCTCCTGTTCCTTGACACCTTCGAGTACGGAGGTGGTGTGCAGCCAGAGCGCCCTCACACGTTTCCCCGCGGAGGGTTTACCTTCCAACACCACTCGGCTGTCCATTCAATCCACCAACCTCAGCAGCGTTACCGCGAGCCAATTGAGCGCTGTGCCCCTTCTCATAAACCTCCAGCTGTATCGCAACAACCTAAAAGGCCTCCCGTCCGATGTGCTGGGCAACGTTCCCCGCTTGGACGTGTTGGATCTGACAGGAAACCAGCTGGTTTCTCTTCCCCCTAACGTCTTCAGCCATGACTCCCTTGGTAGTCTCGTGCTGAAGAGCAATATGATAGAAAGAGCTGATGCCGAATGGTTTTCTGGGAACAGCAGCGTCACCTGGTTGGATTTGTCTGGGAACCGCTTAGCGGTTGTACCCGCCGCGTTTCTTCAGAAGCTGCCCAGTCTGGTGAATCTAGACTTTAGTGACAACAACCTGCAGGACCTACAGCCCGATTCCCTAAAGAACCTCCCCCGCCTAGAGACACTGAATCTTGCCGGTAACAACTTAAGCTCCTTGAAACCTACAACCTTCGCCCACAACCTGAAACTATCTCAATTGTTTTTGCAGGACAATCGGCTCCAAAAGCTTCCGCCGACTCTCCTCCAGGGTCTCCAGCACCTCGAACTTCTGCTGCTCAATCGGAATCAGCTGCAGCATTTCCCCTCGGGGTTGCTGGATGACAGAAAGTCCTCTTTCCAGATTATTTTAAGAGGAAACCCCTGGGTTTGCGACAAGGAGATCGAGTATCTGTGGAAGTGGCTGGCTGTTTGTCCTCAAAATGTCCTCTTCTTGGAGGAGGTGACATGTGCACGGCCTGAAGCTCTTATACACAGACAAGTGGTGTCTTTAACTGGCAGGGAGCTGGGTCTTTAACAGATTCAAAATCAGCGATAGGGACCTGGGAAACGTTTAACACGCTGGACTCGACAGCACTAAAATCAGATGTCAAATAGGGATTTCCTTAAAGGTTTTTCTTTGTCAAAGGCATAAAATAAAATATTATGATTCATTCTTTTATTGTGCTCTTCTCGTGATGTCTCCTTGTTCAGATATTGTCCAGCCCACTGGGTGGCGTAAGACACTCAACACATTTTCAGAGCAATGAGCTGAACAGGCGGGTCAGTGTGGGTCATTTAAAAAAAAACCAATATGCTTAACAAATCCCTGCCCAAGATCCGTCAAGGCGTATTATGATGGGAATGTAATATGTGTTCTAGATTTGTTGATTTTGATCTGCGAGGCACCTCATCTCAAAGTACACCGGCGTAATTCAAAGTATTGACAAACTTCACACTCCCTTAAGAGCACAGTCCAACAGCTGTGATTTAGGGTGGTGATGCAGAATTGCAGAAAATCAATACAACATTTCTTGAGGTTTTCTGAAATTCTTGCAAAGGAAAATCATCCCTCCGACAGACCTGCCTCACAGGGGTGTTGGTTGCAAATCGCAGAATGCGGCATTGTTTCAGTCGTGCCCGTTTGTTTTTAATGATGTGGAGCACGTGGGAGTGTGTGGGCAGCGCAACGGCTGAGTCTTCCAGCTGACCTCTGCTGGGTGTGTTTAAATATCTCCCGGTTTCCTTAGGTCTCTTTCTCTTATACTGTGTATAGTGCGTATAATGTGTGCATATCCTGTGTGCCCACACACGTCCTCGAGCCTCGATCACAGAGAGAGCAGCCCAAAATCCTCGCCCGAGGGGTTGTTACTTGAATTAAAACTTGTTTGTAAATGCTCCTTAGTGAGGGGGAGTGTTTGGTTTTTATTTTACCTCTCCAAAGGTTGAGGAAGTGCTGGTACAAATGTCCCTCTAGATGGACATTTCTGTTTTGGGAAAAGCACACAAAGGCTCTCTCCTCCATCTGCAGCAAGAAAGCTCCATCTGCTCCTACGAATCTCCAATGTTTGTAAGTGTATAATGTGGGGCAGGTTTTGCGGATAAATGAAGACGAGGCTTCTCTCTCCTAATGAGTGTGGACGAGACTGCTGTTCTGATAATGACGGGCTGACGCGGTAATAGAAAAAGGTCACAGTCACATCCTTAAAAATGCCCGTGGCCTTTGTGAAATGGTGGTGTTGAAGGAACGCAGACGTGATCGCCTTGAAGTACTGCTCATTAGCAACAAATAGAGCGCTAATACATAATTTAAAAAAAATTAAAAATGACATGTAATAGCATGACATTTCTACCATAATCTGCTAGAACATGTTTTTCCAGTGTTTCCGAGGGACGGCTAACGTGGGTCAGTTTAAGCTTTGAGCATGGAGGTATACAGCACCGGAAATAACCTAGTATTTAAACGACGAGATGATGATGAGAGCTGTATGAATTATTTTAGCTACTGGGCCGAAGTAAGAAAAGCGTTTGCTGGACTTATTAAAAGCTCACCTGTAGGTGGGTGAGAAAGAGTCACATTGTGACTGCCGTCAGAAGCGTGATGCCGTTACAATGCAGGCACTTAACAACGGTAAAACACTCCCACCGAGCTTTTCACCGACCGCGCCACAGTTCTGCTGGGAAATGACAGTATTTTGTTCATGACTCAAACCTGCGCATGTTCAGGACCAGATTGCCTCCATTTCCTAATCATAATTCTACGCGCATGCATTTTATGCTTCCTGTCCTCCTCACAAATCCGCAATGTCCTTGACAACATAATAGTGGGGAAATAAATGTGCCGTTGCCTTGGTGCTTTATCTCATTATTTACAAAGAGAACCGAGGCCCCTTTCCAGACTGTATGATCAGTTGTTGTAAGTGGCCCCGCTCCCACGGGAAATAGGCTGCAAGGAGTCTTTTTCATAATGGCCCCTCAGACTTTGTATGAGAGGAAAGTGAGTAACCAACAGGCAGGAGGATGGACAAGTTTCTGTCCTGCACTTAAAAAACATGTAGACTTTCTGTCCATTCATGCTAATAGAGAACGTTTCTTCCCAAAACTAAAGGCCGCAAGAAGTGGCGGTATTGTTTTAGCAGTTGTACTCAAGTACAAATTTGACGTACATGTACTTTCCTTGAATATTTCCCCTCTCTCTTTAAAAGCGAATGTGCCAAATGCCGTAAAGCGGCCTGTTACTAACAGCATTTAGTAAAAAATAAAGTCATAAAGTCAGTGAACTTTGATGATCTTTGTGATAGCAGATAGCACCTAGCAGCTACTTCGAACCCCCTTTAACGCTCCGTGCGATGGTACTTACATGCAGACAGACAGGAACCCCATCTGTGAATTTCTATCCGCACTCCCTGAGGGAACACAACAGCTCTGATGACCCTCCGACTCGCTCGTAAGCTCCTTTTGAAAAAAATAAATAAGCACTGACAGATCCTTTACTCCACCCCCAACTTCCGCCGTTCTCATCTGACTTTACGCCTCCACCTTCTCTAATTACTATGTAAATATTCCGCTGCAGAGATGCACATTGTACTCTGCAGCTTTGATCTCAGACTGCTTGGAGAGGAGAAATCCCGCTGCTGGATACACCAGCCGCCACTGTCTGTGGTGTGTCATTTGTCTCTTCAGTGATTGCAGATTGATCTCCAGCTACGTTTCAATTGTAATCACCAACAGTGACCCACGCAGGGGACCGACGGGGCAGAGGCAGTTTAATTACCTCCAAGCACCCGGACTCCTCTTTATGGAGCTTTATGTGCACACAACAGACCTTCTACCTGTTGCTGTGTTGGTCAGCGTGGGGCTAAACAGAGCTGCCTGCAGAAAATCCAAACTGTAAGCATGTAAAAACAAGGCTGTGGTTACAGAGTGAGATCATGTGTCAGCTAAAAGGTAGATAAATGTACAGGTATGATCATTGATTTGTTCCTTTGATAAGCAACTAGAACCTCTAAAGCTCACAAATCAATGCAGGTATATAGTTAGAACTTTCCAAAAACGGAAGCCTATAACACCTATTTGCTGCATCACAGGAGGTAAGCTAAGTTAGCTCCGGCTGTAACTTTTGGTTGCCTGGCAGAGGCGCTGATAGCATTTGGACGGCCTTCGGACAAAGCAAAGCTGATTGGCTGCTGGCTGGAGCTTCATAGTTGGCTGAGACATGAAAGTGGTATTGATCTTACGATTGGAATTCCTGCCGAAGAACAGGAAAATGTAATTTCCAAAATCATAAATAACTGCAACTGGGTGCATGTTAATGCAGAGATGAAGCAATTACTTATGCAGGACATTTGCATTTTTACTTTGTTCAATAAAACTTTATTTTGATTGTCACATTAGCCCATGATACTCAAGGCTGCAATTGCAATCATGCAAAACAATTTGGCATGTGCACGCTTGAGTCAGTGATTCTGTGACAGATGAATCTTCCCTTTCATATTTTTTTTAACCCACAGATCTAAATTGAATGCAAAAGTCTCAGCAAGCCACTGTGGGACAACAACGTTCCACTCCATAAAACATCATTGTTTTTGGATGAGACAATCTGCAGTGGCAAGTGTATTGACAAGCAGGCCCGATCAATCCGTGTGGCTTTGGTCTCTCCATGCGAATTTCTTTAATTAGATGTCAGTACATTTATCAGCAAAGTGACACGGGGCCAATATGCCTGATGCAGTGAAATATTCCCTTTGTAAGCCAATTTTCAAAGTAAGGCCCATCAGTGAAGGACATGAAGAGACTGAGAGGAAATAAAAAAACAACTTGCACCAGATAATAAGCCGGCTCAGTAATAGCTTTTTGTTATGCGAGCAACGGTTCGTAGGAGAAACATGTCTTTTATGCGTTTTTATGTGTCTTTAAATTAAATCGATTTGCTTGAAAGGGATTGGATTGATTTTTTTTTAGTGAAACTAAGGCGGCTTTCAAATCTTTAGCTTTGAATAAGTTATTCTAAGCCGTCCGTGGACACAACTTGCAAAGCCCAAGTTCATCTGGAGAGACACGCTTGGCAGAAATGCAAATGCAAATGGGGTTATTTCGGACGGCCAAGGGCGAATTAAAGCACGACAGCAATGCGTGAAGCAACACAAAACCCACCGCCGCTGAGAGACAATTCAAACAACACAACATAATACATTACAGGGGAACAACTTGAATAAATATATCAGCGTTCTGACTTCACATGTTCATGTTTGCCTAATGAGGGTTCAGTATTCACGGGGGGGGGGGGATCTGCCTGGGAGACTGTGAAATGAAGGGATTTCACATTACTTTTCTGAGGGATTCACTCTGTAAAGCATTAACCAACTTCTAATGAGCTTTGGTTTTAGTCAGTAATTTATCTCATTTATTGCAGGGATCCTGTAGTTATGTATACCTAATAAATTGGCTCAGGGGAAAATACATCTGTACTCTTCCTTATTTCTGTTGGGCAGTGGTTCAAAAGCTGAAATAAATAAATACAATTTAAATTACAGCCACTGTGCAGGCTAATCCTTAAACAATGGCTCCATATTAGGTTACAGGAACAACATCTTCAAAAATATAACCATTACAATGACTTCATATTTGTGTTGCTCTCTTGGGTATATCATGAATATAATCACAGGACTATTCTTGCAGCAGCAGAGGACTGGTAGAGGGCAGGTACATCATTAAGTACCACATTACCCCTTTAGGCTCTATATTCAACTGCAATGGCCCACAGGCACTCAGTCACGTTTTACATGAAAGGCGACTTAAAGAGAAACTCCGATAACAACGTGAATAATTGAAGCTCTGCGGAATCACGACATGTGGAGCTCACGCTGAGACTAAAGGCAGCGTTGAACTCTCCAGTTCTTCCTTGTTGCCTTAAGTTGAACGGTACAGCGGAATGATACATGCCACGGGTTATCATTATGTCCTCTGAGGCCGTACTTCTTCTTTACTTTTGCATGATCATCAGTGCCTCTGAGGAATCCAACTCTGCAGTGAGGATTCTTTTGCGAGCAAATCACTTTTGCAGTCGCACATTTCCCGTATGTGTTCCATACGTTTGTTTCTTTCAGTAGTATTTCTGTTGGTTTTTCAAATGAAACTGCATCATATTCAACTGGTTGACTGAATATTTTCATATAAACCCTTAAAAGCAGACGTGGAGATTTTGCAAGAGAATACTCAGCAGGCTAAAAGGAAAAGGGAGAAATTATAGTTCAGTAAAAGACGATGTGGAAATCCTTTTTACAGCCGAGTTGAGTGAGTTCAATGTATCATCCTTTTCTGCTATTATGTTGAAGGTCATATTTAATCCATGCAATTATTGTCATGCAATTTAATGCCACTCTTTGCCAGAATCAAAGTCCACTGTTGTTGAAAAGATTGTAACTCATTCACTCCTCATTTCACCTCTTTCGAATCTGACATCAGGGAAATTACCTTTTTCTGTTCCTGCGCTGAATATCTCTGAAACAGAGATAGTGCCCTGAGGAGTGGGCAGTTGCAAACACATCCCCATCCAAACTAATGTTGCAAATCTATTATCATATCCCGTTTGTACCGTTTGAGGGGAGACATTAATTTCTCTTAAGCGTGGTCTTGAGAGCGAATGATTCATTTGGATCTCTTTTTCATCCATCTGGCTTTCGTCTCCCATTCGGTTCTTTTCTCTTGCCTTATGTGTGATAAGGCAGGACAAAATAATTCTGTGCAGGGAAATAAAAGTACAAACTGAGCTTTTCCTGTACGTCTGTACCATTTGTTACTTACTTGGACTTCTCTATTTTTAGCAGACATGAGTAGAATAGCCCCTGTTCCAAAGGTCGGCCAGGGAGAGGCAAACAGGGCCTCTGTGAGTCCTGCTGTCATCTCAAATATTTGGGTGTAACTCAATACATATACGACATGAGGTCACCAGAAAACAATCAGCGCTGGGAGCCAGCTGCAATAACTTTACCTAAAATTCACTCTAATATTTGCTCTCTACGTGTACAAAGTGGTTCAATTAATCTATGGCACTGTACGACGTGTCTGAGGGTTCAGGCAGGACGTCACATCCCGTTTATTTACAGCATCCGACATGCGCTCCATGATTTAACACTACATGAATGGAACATTGAGGTGTCATATTGAAGCGTGCTATACACTTTTACGCCTTGTTAATTATTATTCTCTTGGCAAGGCGGTGGAATAAAAGCATTATAATATAAACATCCTCATCATTGGCAGAATGACTTAAAGTGAGGAAATCAACTGATGGACAATTTGAAACAGAACTTCTTGATCCTTTAGGTCTGTTTAGGTGATTTAAACAGATCCATGCTGCACATACACATCAGACATATTTATATCTACAGGCATAAGTAAAGAAACACTTCATCTGCACTCAAATAAAACTTGGTCTGGATTTAGAAAAGAGCATTTATTTTGAAGCAACAACCACGGTTCTCACAATAATTGGGACTTTTTTGCTAACAAGCACAACTTTCAGTAAATGCTCAGGAATATTCCCCGTCTTAAACACCCACTGAATGCCACAGATGACCAACGTGTGGGTGAACAAATTGGTGATTAGCCAGCAGATCACAGCGGGTCGCAGCAGGTCACGCAGAGCAGATCAGCCGTGGCTGTGGGTACACAGGCGGACAAGTGTTTGTAGATGCAATTATCTGTGTGGCCGTGCAGGTAGCCGGCAGAGAGGAGGGGGGATGTTTATATACGTCTTTTTGCATGTGCATCTGCTGGAGGAACATTGTTCCACTGCACAATGCCGGCCTTTGACATTCCAGCTCCACCTGTCACTGTGCACAAAGGCCTTTCTGCCCGCAGAGATAGCAGCCGGGGACAGGACTGGATGTGTGGGTGGAAAGGCTGCAAAGCACAGCCTGACCTCCTGCATGGTCTTTATTTTATGGCTGCGTGACTTAAACTGAACCTCAGTGGAAAACATCAGTGGCAGTTAATACTAAATTAGGGCCTGCTCACTCCCATCACACCAACTGACATTTTGTCCCAATGATAGACGACTCTCTTTCGGCAGGGCAGCATAAGATGAATGACTCGTCTTTGTTTCGACAGAGGTCCTAAATTTGAAATTCATACCATGTCTAGTGTAAAAACAAGTGTCTCAGCATGGAAACCGGCTGAGCCGCTGAAAGTCAGAGGAGGACACAGAGTAGGCTGTTCCAGATAGCATAGATAATGTCCATGTAACCCTTAAATAATGTACCTTTGGCGATCATCCCTGGTGGGTGAAAATACTTTGATTATAGCCCATAAAGATGGAAAGTGACCGCATGACGTGCTTATACTCACTACAATGTTTACTGTACAGTTGTTTGCCGCTAAAGAAATGCTCAGAAAATTGTATTGATTAAAAAAATCATTACGGTACCGGTGAACACAGCGGTTTTAAAATTCCCTTTTTGGACTTTGCTCTCAAGTCTGAAGGTGACATGAAGGTTACAGGTAGCGTTTAGAGTAAATGGATAAATGGTCAAAATGTGTAGCTTCCACAGTAACAATAATGCAGACTTCCATTTTACCTATTGTGGTAAACTAAGTCTGCATTGTTTTCTATTAATTCACTATTATTATTATTTAATAACATTTCATAGAATAAGATGTGCAACAGGAGCCCATAGATATCGTTCATCCTGCAGGCTGCAACGAGTTCAAACCGTTGGAATCCGCAGCATTTATTTCAGACCTAGAATAGATCCCTCACTGTGACAACTAATGGAAGGATTGTTCTGTGTAGAAAGTTCCTCGTGTCACTCAGACTAATGGTGTAGGAGTAGACTGTTTAAATGTGAAGCTTGAACCTTTTAATACATGTTCCCATTAAGCCAATACAGAATGCATTTATAAAACATTGTGAAAACGTAGTCCTTTCAAGTTTCACTAAAATGAGATGCACTAAACACATTTTACAGGCAGACACGTCGCATTGAAACTCTCACAGCCTTTTCATGTTGGTCACCTGCTGCTCTGACTTTGCTCTCATGAAAAATTAATGAAACAACGTTCTGATTATATATACTTTTATATCTTTTTTTTTTTTTTAATATCTGGAATCCTTCTTTCATCCAGCCTGTTTCCCCTTCCCCCTCACCGATAACGTGGTTAGTCAGGTTATTCCACTGGACCTCGGGAACAAGCACGGTGGCGATGGCTGCATCAAATTTCTAAGCCCATCATGGGACAAGTTCTGCACATGACTTTTATATCTCACATACGGCTTCACATTCATCGTGTCGGATAACCGTGCACTGCATTGGCAATATGTTGCTTTTACTATCCCCCAGTTAGTCATCAGCGTATACTTGCTATTCTTGTCTCTTGGAGGAGCTGACAATTTTTTTGTTCTTCTTTTTTTCTTTAAACATTCATCGGGATGTATTATTTATATATCTGTACAGAGAAATATAAGCTATAGTGCAGTCTAAAGTGTGAGTGTGAGGATTGGGGATGGGGGGGTTTGTTATATAAGAAGGCTGCTTGCTGTTCAAACAGAATTCCTCATACAGGGAGTCACTGCGCAAAGGCGCAGCTCATCAAGTATGTGCCCCTATGTGTCCCTTTCCACTAAACAGTCCTCGGAGAGCACCTCGGCTATTTACAATGTTGTCCCCGGTCATCGTGGGATCGGTAAGCCTGCATTTTGCGGGGTTTAATGAAGTTTAATGAAGTCGACAATTAACGATTCAGTTGCTGCTCTGTCGTTTTATGTCGTTTTCTCGCAGAGTGTTCTCAGGTGATATGAAATATTCCGTGGACTCGGCTGTGCTTTCGAAGCTTGTCTCCATGCTGTGGGGCCGCAGTCCGGCCCCTCCTCTGGGATCCTTCAGTGAGGGGGTGCAGGTGTCGCTGTGACAGGAGCGCGCGCCGTTGTCCCAGACCCCCGCGACGCAAACGTGCGCGTGGGCGCCGCGCGCTGCCTCCAGCTCGCCTTCCCCGGAGCGCAGTGCCATCAGTTCAATCTCGTGCTTGGCCGCAGTCTCCAGCACCTGTTGCTTGTTGTAGACCAACACGAAATTGTTGATGATGGGGTGTATGGGCAGCGCTATGGCGATCACTCCGCACAGAAAGCTGATGGCCGCGTTGCATCGGCCCAAAGTGGTCTTCGGGTAGACGTCTCCGTAGCCCACCGTGGTCATGGTGATCACCGCCCACCAGAACGACTGTGGGATGCTGGTGAACAAGGTTTCCGGGTGGCTCTGCTCCATTGTGTAGCCCAACGCGGAGAAAAGGAAGACCCCCACGCCCATGTACATGAGGAGCAGCCCGAGCTCTTTGAAGCTGCTCTTCAGGGCGGATGTGAGGGTCTGCAGTCCGGAGGAATGGCGAGCCAGTTTGAAAATGCGCGCAATGCGCATTATGCGTAAAGCCTGCACCGCCTGCTGCACGTTGGCCAGCTCCATCACTCCTGTGCCGAAAGAGGTCAGAATCAGCACCACGAAGAAGGGCATGATGGCCATGAAGTCAATGACGTTCATGAAAGCCAGGACAAATTTCCTTTTATTTGGGGAGGAGATTAAACGCAAGATGTATTCAATGGTAAACCAGCAGATGCACACCGTCTCGATGACCTCCAGAGTTGGGTTCTCTGTGAGGTTACCTTCCGAGTCCTCTACCTGCAGGTCGGGGATGGTCCCGACACACATCACCACGGAAGAGACCAGGATAAAGATGAAAGAAACTATGGCGATTATGTGCGCAGGCAGCGAGGACTCCGGCTTCTCCATTAGCCTCCAAAGGCACATCTGGAAGCGCTGCCAGCCGGCCGCCGACGGATCTCCATCTCGGTCCACCAGGATAGTTCTTACTTTCTCTGCGATCTCCGCGAGTTCATCCTCCACCTCCTTCAGTTGGCATTTACAGCAGTCGTCCAGAAAATCGGCGTCGATCTTCCAGAACTCCATCTCCTTCATGAAACAAATTGGACAGATGCCTCGTTTCATGTGAATCTCCCCGTAATAATACAGCTCGACGACGCATTTAAATGCCTCGGGGTCTCTGTCAAAGTAGAATTCCCCCGCGTCAGGGTCGTAGTCGTCGCATAATACGGATATTTCCTCGGAGGACTTGAGCGAACAGTCGATCAGTTCTGCCAGCCGCGTGTCCGGGTAGCGACTCAACGCGTCCCCATACAGCACCTGTTTCACCCCGCCGACGTTGACCACGACCTCCGTCTCCCCGCTGGCGTCCGAGGCGTTGCAGTCTCCGTGGCGCGTCCGCTGGATCCCCCACATTGTGCCGTTAAATCCGCCACCAAACAGCCCAAGTTGACCGCGCGATGTATTTTCACAATTGTGCCCTCAAAGTGAATAAGTCTGAAGCCCCGACCCAATGCGTCGGCCCTCAAACACCTTCTTATGTCTTTTTATTTATAAATATATATCTATATCTGTATTTGTTTGCTCGGAGGTGGCTGCAGCGTGAAGTCTCAGCTCAACACTCTTGCGCGCGTTGAGAAAGTTGTTATTGTAGTGCGCGTTACGTCAAGCGAGCAATGATCAAACCACTCAACTTCCGGTGCGGATTTTCAAACTAAATCCCTTCTGAGCATTTTTTTCCCGTATAAACAATAAAACAATTCCAAATTATATAGGCGAGAATTATTTAAATAAAGATATGTATTTCTGATTATTTCTAATAATTAATATATGTCCTCTCTGAAAAGTTGTCTGTATTTATTTTATTATCTAATATTTTTTAAGTCAGCTTGTTTGGGACAAAACGTAAAAATAAACAAAAACATGTTTTTTTTCAACCCCAAACAACAATACACATTAAAATAATAACAATATATGTATTGCACCTACTTATGTACATAATATATTAATACAAATCAAAGCATGTCAAAATTCTCAAAATAATGCCCAAAGATAAGGGTAAAACACTACAGGTTGAATAGAGGAAATAAATCACATTTAATAATGTCTGCTTTTATATTTAAGGCTGTTTCCGTGTTTTCCGGTTGCGCTCTCTGGCGCAGCACATCTCATCCATCTCTGTGCACGAAGTAAATAGTCAAGCAGCAAGTTACAGGAAAAAGGTGAAACGCACTCAACCGGGTGATGGCAGCTCGACGAACGGAAATTAATTAAACACAATCGATTAATAGGTAGCATATGAGAAACTGGAATCATTTATTCATCTTTATTCTTCACAATGCCTTTAAAATCCATCATGTTTGTGTTGGAAGTTAAATAAAACAGCGTCCTAACAATGTTTTGCATTGTTGTTTGTCGCCATCTAGTGATACAATCTACACATTTCAGTTTTATTCTAAAGTAAATCTATTAATAAAAAACAAAGTCCAGTGTCTGCATAATTGACTATTGTTGTCTTAGAAAAATAATACTTTTTTGCATTACAAAGGAATTTATTGATGTGATATTTGTGTGACTTTATCAAACACTTTTTATGGTGTTCTCAGTGTCAGAATCAAGAGACTTGGTAGATTAAGATGTTTAGACAAACATGATGGATTGTTAACAATTAGAAGAGCAAAGAAGTCTATAAAGGCATTCATTAGATTCACTTCAACTGGCTGCTAAATGTACTAGGCAGTCATTCTGTAAAAACGTTACTTTAACATTTGATCATTAACGGAAACTATACACATAATAGCACTTGTCTCCGTTTTGTCCTGGTTAATTTGTTTCATCATCTCTTAATTCACTTACATGTTGCAAACTGTAACATCCTCCTTTTTTTTTTCTTCAAACGGATCCACTTGTCTCCATATCATCGGCTCGCTAAACTACACGGCGCGCGCTGATTGGCTGAGACGCAGCGTGTCCCCGAGTGGACCAATCAGCGCGGGCCACGGTGAGGTTCATTCCGTATTACCTTTCCTGGGAGAAGCAGCCGCCGCAGACCGTGTGTTGCTAACCTAATAGACGTCCGGCGACCGAGAGCAGCGACGACCATGAGGCCGCTTTTACTCGGTAGGTGATACGTGTTTAGCCGCCGTTCTACTTGTTCGATAGTCGTCTTATGCGCCTTTTTTTTAAATAGTCGTGAGCTTTGATTTGACGCCGTGTTTGCTACTTTAGCTTGAGTGGCTAAGTTGAGCTGAGTGTCGGGCCTCCGTTATAATTGAATCGATTAATCAAACAAACAAACGTGAAACTCCATTTTCAGTCACGTGATTCTGCGCACAAACCGTGTTCGAATCGGCTCGTAATCCCGTTTCACTGCTCAACCACGTCCCTGCATAATGTGCATCGTTGAGTGAACCCCTTTTGTGTGTGTGTGTGTGTGTGTGTGTGTGTGTGTGTGTGTGTGTGTCCCTCCCTGCAGGAGTGCTGTGCTGCTCCCTGGTCCTCTCCGCCCGAGCCTTTTACTCAGCCAGTGACGATGTCGTGGAGCTCACCCCGTCCAACTTCAACAAGGAGGTGATCCAGAGTGACAGCCTGTGGCTGGTGGAGTTCTACGCGCCCTGGTGAGCTCCACCACCTCACTCCCACCACATCTCACTCCCACCACACCTCACTCCATCTCTGCGGCCGCTGTTTTGATGTCAACAGGTGTCCTCTGGTTTTGAGCCACGTAGCGTCCCGTTGACCTCAGTGACATTTGAGTCCTCTGTTTGTAGTTGCTGTCACTCACGTAAAGCACATAAACCTGTGATCAGGGCAGACTTTCACTTCCTCCTCGGCTTTATTTGCAGAGCGCAGTCAAGTCCTACAGAAGTAACGAGAAGGATCCAGGATTCAAACAAATACGAAATGTTTTAATGTGTATTCTGGTAAACAAATACATGGCAAAATGTGTCAGGAAGTGACATAATTTTCTATCCTTGGTCATGTAAACTCGCATCAGACATTTAGACGTGTCACGGTAGGAAAGGAAAAGGTGCGTTAAATAACTTGCTACTGTGACGCTGTGGGAGGTCCTGGTGTGCATGTTTGCTCTCCAGGACCTCAACCGTTGTAAACGTCATCACTTCCAGCTTTTACTTTTCGTACTAGGACACGTTGAAATGTTTGCTGCTGCTGCAAAAAAGATCATTTGTGACGCCTGAAACGTGTTGGATAAAAGGCCGTTGAGTAGTGAACCCAAAAAACCCGAATGAAAGGTGTTAAATATTCACAGGATGTGTTACTGTTTAATAACACGGTTCTGTGGCAAATACCTCATGATGCGTGGTGATTAAATGTTTCTGGGCTTGAACGCCAATCGTGCCCACCTGCTGTTCCTCACATGAACTCACGACACGCGTCTATTAGACGCTAGATTACTAGAGAAACGACTCATTCAACAAACTAACCCGTCAATTACTCATTATTTGTGTCCCTTTCTGTTCCCAACCACAGGTGTGGTCACTGTCAAAGTTTAACTGCTGATTGGAAGAAGGTGGCCACGGCCCTCAAGGTAAACGGCGCTCTGGTCTTTCACCGTTGATCAGCAGACACATGATGATGATGATGATGCCTTCAATAGCTGTTTGCTATATGACTGTGATAAGCAAATATACTCAGCAAAAAAACAATCAAAAGTAGCAAACTGACACTCAGGCTATTTAACCATAACAGATATCACGGCTTTGTTGCATAAACAAGTTTGTAACTCATCAGTAAGAATAACTGTCAGTAAGTCAGGCGTGTGAGGTGGGCGGATGTGGGACTGTAGTCAAATGTGAGTGAGTCTTGTATTTATCTAGCGCTAAGATGATATAACTCATTTTATTGAAAGTGTTTTTTTTTTTTGTTTTTTTTTATATATAAAGAACGGCTATTGTATTATTCTCTTAACAATAATAATTTGTGAAAAGAAAATGACAAACCAGCTTGCTGTTGTTTTTAAAAGTCCAGACTAGACTCCCAACTTGAATTTTTATTTCTAAAACCCTCCAGGGTATCGTGAAGGTCGGCGCAGTAGATGCAGACCAGCACAAGTCGCTGGGGGGCCAGTATGGCGTCCGAGGTTTCCCCACCATCAAGATCTTTGGAGCCAATAAGAACAAGCCGGAGGACTACCAAGGTACGGCTAAAAAAAATACACCGCACCAAACAAATCGCTTTTGTTTTTCCTGGAAACGCAGCTTTGGGAGTTTGAAATCTCGACTCGAAAGTTCAATCTAACAGTTCCTCTAAGTGGAGAGCGAGAAAAGCGGATTCAGGTTTCAGAGAGAAGACTTAACATTCTGCGCGATTGCTCTCACGGCTTTGTTGGGCGCTTTATCGTGAGGAGGACTCTCTATTCTAAATGCTCTTCTTTTGGCTGCAATGACCTGACCGTTTCATCCTCCAGGGGGACGCAGCAGCCAGGCCATCGTGGACGGCGCCATGAACACTTTGCGCACTCTGGTGAAAGACCGGCTGAGCGGCAAGTCTGGCAGCTCTGGCTACAGCAAACAGGTGGCTACATTAGGGACCCTGCGCGCACTAGTTGGTTCTAATTACTCCAAATCGGAAAGGTCAAACGCCTGCGTGAACAGTGTTGAGTAATCCTCCGCTTCCTTCCAGAGCGGCGGTGGCGGCGGCGGCGGCGGCAGTAAGCAGGACGTGGTCGAGCTCACCGACGACAACTTTGACAAGACGGTGCTGGAGGGGGATGCGGTGTGGCTGGTGGAGTTCTACGCCCCCTGGTGTGGACACTGTAAAAAGTGAGTTTCAATACAGCCGATGGTTGTTGGGGAAACACTGCATGCATGTAATGATGACTTGTAAATTCTTTTAGCAAAATCGCTGTTTTTAGTTTGTACTTTTTGTTCCTAACCATCAGTTTCTGTCTGTCGTTGGCAGCCTGGAGCCCGAGTGGGCGGCTGCAGCCTCGGCCGTCAAGGAGCAGACAAAGGGCAAAGTTCGCCTCGGCGCCGTGGATGCTACGGTGCACCAGGCCGTGTCCAGCCGCTACGGGGTGAGTCAAAGGTCAAAGTGGTGCGCCGCCACACAATTGTACGAGTGGGAACCTTCAGTGGACACGCAACTCAATATACCATTTCTTCCATAAGTAAATATCCAATTTAATTGGTTAACGTGATGGTTGACTAGCCACAATGTTTGCTTTCCATATGTGATTTTGACTTTTGTAACTGCTCTGGCTGTAAGAAATGTCTCCAACCTGGAACGATTTGAGGGCTTTTTAAGTCTTGGTTACACCTTCAGGCTCTTCTTACTGGGATTCGATATTTAGCATTTAATGACGTCTCTAACTGTCCAGAACAAAGCTCTGAAACTTGTTGGAGTGGAGGAAGTAAAAACATACTAATTTAGGCCAAATGAAATTCAAACTCAACTCTTGACATCCTGCTACTGATAATAACAGTTCATGGCAACATCATTTTACAGATGCTTCTAGTCACTGAGCTTCTTCCGTACTGAATCCTTCTATTAATATCCAACGTGTGCTTTTTAGATCCGAGGATTTCCCACCATCAAGATTTTCCGCAAAGGCGAGGAGCCCGAGGACTTCCAAGGGGGGCGCTCCCGTGGTGACATCATCGAGCGGGCCATGGATCTGTTCTCTGACCACGCCGCTGCTCCTGAGCTGCTGGAGGTCAGTGCGCTTTGCAGTGTCCATCAGACATTCAGTTATGAACACTCGTACGGCTGCTGTTGGACTTCAAGTCATTGGTTTCTACACTGTCGATGAACACGACTGTGATTCAATGTATGATCTCATTGATCACAGCTACAAACTAAAATTAAGGTTGTCTATTCATGTGATCATGTTAACTCACGCCGCATCCCGTCTTGTGAACGTTTGTCCCTCAGATTCTCAATAAAGACGTCTTGCAGAAGACGTGTGAAGACAGTCAGTTGTGTGTAATCGCTGTTCTGCCGCACATCCTGGACACCGGTGAGTCGGACGCTTCATTCTGAATATTTAATTGCTGGAGGAGGAAAATCTGATATTTTAACAAGATTAAAGGTCACTCACTGTATTGAGAAGCTAGAACTATTTACACTGATACACTTTATTATTTCATATTTTCGCAAATGCTGCAGAGAATTCCGACTGGCGTTTTTTCTTAACCCTTGAATCACTCTCCACGAACGGTCCCTGTGTGTCAAACAGGCGCAGCCGGAAGAAACGGCTACATGGAGGTGATGATGCGGATGGCTGAGAAGTACAAGAAGAAGATGTGGGGGTACGGTTTCCTGACTCGCGGATTATTCTACAAATGACTTGATTGTGACCGACTTAACATCCCGCTCTCTCCCGCCGTCAGCTGGCTGTGGACCGAAGCCGGCGCTCAGATGGAGCTGGAGGCCTCTCTCGGCATCGGCGGGTTCGGCTATCCCGCCATGGCGGCCATCAACGCACGCAAAATGAAATTTGCTCTGCTGAAGGGCTCCTTCAGCGAGACCGGCATTCACGAGTTCCTCAGGTAGTTTTTCTTTTTCTTCACACTATGACGAATGTGCTGAAGGATGGCGCTCACGTCGTCCCACCTTTTCCTCCAGGGAGCTCTCTGTAGGCCGCGGCTCGACTGCCACATTTGGAGGTGGCGTGATGCCCGCCGTTCACACCGTTGAGCCCTGGGATGGCAAAGATGGACAGGTGAGTGGGAGGGTCGGCCCCGCCGAGCGGACGGTTCATTACAGTTCGTACCTTTTTTCTACCAAACCCCCGGCTGTACGACTCAAATCGTCCAGAACAATGTGAACAAAAAGTTGCGCAATGAACAGAAGGCATCGACACAAAAGCTAAATGTGCGTCCGCAGATGGCTTGAAGACGGCAACCGCATAGTCTGTCTGTTGGGCAGCAAAGTTCAGTTTTCACTTCTGTCACAGCACAATCTCAGTCAAGAGCGTCAACCAAAACTGTGACGTGCCAGAAATCCAAAGGGCCTTACAGCCAATTCGTCTGTCAATTATTATGTTTTTTTGTATAAAATGTAGGCTCTACACGTTTGTCATTTGTAATCTATGTAAATGGGTTTGAAGTGAAAGTCCTCGTGTTCACCTCCACCTGCGGTGACTGTTTTTGTCTTTTTTCATTCTCAACTGCAGCTTCCTGTGGAGGAGGACTACGACCTCAGTGACGTAGACCTGGACGATGACTTCGATAAAGATGAGTTATGAGCCCAAAACCGGGCGGGAACTGACTCTGTTTAATCTGGTCTGGTCCTGTGCAACCCGCCTCCCTTCTCCTGTGGACAAACGGGAGGCCCGGTCGCCCAGTTACTGAAATCTTCCAGAAAAGACACACGAGAGACATCCGCAGTTTCTCACCTCATCTTTGTCATTCAAACGGGGGCGGCGGCATGTGTTGTGTCTCTGAAATGAACTCTGCCTCCCATTAGGAGCCACATATTTATATGGCAGCTGAGCGGGAAAGCGGCCACGAATGTGACATTTCAGTTGTTCATTCCAGTCTTTTTCAAAGGTCCCCCCCCAGTCCCATTTTCAGCCACTCTCAAAGCACCTGTTTTAAAATGTGGACGTGTCAAAGTAACACTTCAGCGTACAACCTTCTGTGACTCTTTATACATTCTTTCTTTTTTGAACCAGTAAGTGAGACTCTCGCCAGGTTTTCATGTCCACAAGGGGATACTGTGGGACTTGTGTAGATTTTTCTTACACGACTTTATTTCAATTGTGTGAAAACAAAATTTTTGTTACAAAAATAAAAAGGAATAAAAACGGATCACGTTCTCATTGTTCACATAAATTGCAATTATTCCAATCCCCAGGCACATGCAATGCTAAAGGCATATGGGAGTCGTTCAGAAGAGCAACTTCTTAATCTACAGCCGATGCAAAACATAAGCCACTTTTCAAGACACTAAATTGAATTAAAATCATAAGTGATGTAATTAGTTTCCACCTGGTGTAACGTAAGGGTATTCGTAATACTTGCGAGCACATAAGTCAGTATAAATATATTTGATATGGCACTTCACTTATAGAGAACAGGTAAAAAACATTTAAATGCAAGAGCGCTTAAAAGAATACAGAATTACTAAAACACAACATAGTCGACAGGAAAAGAGCCACATTGACAAGAGAATTACTCATTATTGTAAACGATAAGCTGACTGCTCAAAATGAGAAAGGATTGTGTGGTGAGTTTGTGATGACTGGCCGATGTGGGTCTGATCGTGTTCTGAAGAGCGTGCGTGTCTGCGTCGATTGTCACTGTCCTCAGAACTGACAAGAGGCTCCCTGATCCGACTGCAGCAGTCTGACGATGGACGGGTCGCTCTTGGCACCTTTAATGAACTCCTCCAAAGACAATCTACCTGTGAAGCACAGAGCGCATGAGAGGGTGAATCACACATCGCTAAAAGGCCTCTGAGGTCCCTTTAAAATCATTAAAATCACAGAGGCCTCTGACAACACACTTCAGACAAAAGGACACAACTCAGTGAAGTAATTTACAAGAAATTAAATTTAGAGTTTTCTTTTAAATCATTAATTAGTAATAACACATGTTTTTATTAATGAAATTCCAATTTAAATATAACATTTCTACTTGTGGGTTTCCGGTGTTCTTGTATAGACAGGAAAAAACTTCATGTACTTTGGGAGTAACATTAGTATTTCTTCCCTTCCATTCTACATTCTAAAGTATTTAAAATGACAAACAGTTTCTGTTGAGCCATCGCTGACTGTTTAAATATTGTACAACTTGAATTCTTTATCCAGTCCGTGTTTGAAACCAAGAGTGAGACAACAGTTTGATGTTGCCTAAACTAAACCATAGATAAAAAGCAACAGCACGCCACCATTTGTTTAAATTAAGTCAAACTTTGAGTTGCACTGCATCAGTATAAATGACATTAGAACGGAGGATCAACTGCAGCTGTAGCCCGGGGCCTGTTCTGTAGTACTACGTGATGTAATAAAACACACATCTTGACCTCCAGACATTCTGAACCTTCTGCTCCAAAACACATATAGCGTCCTACTCTCATCTTATGACGACAGAGCCTGGAAGGATTGTAAAAAGTACGAAATAAATACCCTCGAATTGTACATTGTGTTTTTGTTTTTTTTACGTTGTCATGGTGACATTATATGTTGCAGCGGAGCGCTGCCCCATTTCTATTTACACCATTTCAGGCCCTTGCCGTCTGTCTCCCACTCACTCACTCACCAGGTGACGTCAGTGAGTCCCTGAGGGCTCGGGGCTTAAGGCCTTAGGAGGGGCTCTTTGGGATCGGGCCATACTCCTACTCGGTTTGAGTGGCCGATGTGCCGGCAGGTGGTTGTGGCAGAGGGTCATCAGTAAAATGGCAAGGAACAACTTCTGTGTGTGTGTGTGTGTGTGTGATGAGTGTGTGTGTTGATGATGCCGAACTGGCTGATTTGATGTCCTTTATAAATGAATAAATAATTGGGTGATGGGTTTGGCTGTGTGTGTGTGTGTGTGTGTGTATCTCCGTCCTCGGTTTTGGGAGTCTTGGGAAGTGCTGTTCACACTAAATGTCAAAACCACTAATATCGAGGTAGCTCAGCAGGATGAGATACACACGACTGCTAATTACCTTGTGAGTAATGTTCATGTTACGTCATGTTAGAAGAGGTCCTATTTCTCTGTGTCTCTTTGTTCGTCGTCCAGCTTAAACGTTTCCTTATTTGGCAACTGAATCATGTCGGACACATCAAATCGTTCATGATCCGTCTATATTTGGTGCGGCTTTACTTTTAGTAGTGAATTTGGCATTAGTAAGCATATACAGTCACTTAATAAGTGGTTTACAACACACTATACGGCAGTGGTAAACATATGACATTTAATAATAAATAGAATTTGTCGAGGTTATAAATATTTCATGGAGACGTGTTTTATATTATTTCAGCTGTTTCACTAAAATGTCATCGTATGTTTATACACCAGCCTCCACTTATAGTTCTTTCTGCTTACAACTACACCAGATGTCAAAGCAAATATCGCTTTTCATGTATCGTGAGAAGGAAGTGAGAAGAATTCCTCTTTCTGTCTCGACTGATCGTGAGCGCACATTGGGATCACGAAAGCACACAAAAATTAAAAAAAACATCTTACCATCATTGTCAATGTCCATCTGTCTGAAGATCTTATCTGTCCTTTTCTCTGGTGTTGACTCGTCCTCGGGCATCTTCATTACTGAGGACACCATCTTATATATTGCCTACAAAAGCAGGGGGAGAACGATTGCCGTTTTGTGCATTTCAATTTCAGTTTGTCGTCCGCGTGAAGCTTTCAGGTGACGATGAAAAACAACTGTCCCCAACCAGGTGGCAACTTGGAGGGATCTAAAAAAAAAAAAGATGCCCATGTGCCTTAAATGTGCATTCTTTCTAATGGCCTGCAGGGGGCGACTCGTCTGTTTGCAAAAACAATTAATTTGTTAAAAAGCGTTATTTAGGACGTGGCCACCTGTGATTGACGGGCTGCTGTGGTCCGGTTTGGTTGTTCTCGGAGTTAATGGTGACCTTTTTGGTGGCCTAAAGATGTCTTCGGCTGGCCTAAGCTCCACCCACCCGTGTCACATCTGGTCGTAAAGTAAAACAAGAGGGAGACGTCCAAAACGCAGTACTCGCGGGGGCCAAAACGAAACAATCGGTGACTATGTTTGTGTTCCCGTCTTACAGGTTGGCGTCATCTTCGTTCTGAGTGCTTTGACCTATTTTCTGTTGCTACCTGATGATGATGCTGCTCTGGCAAAATGAAGCTCATCCTGTAGACACACACACACTGCTACACAGTGAGCCACTCGCGTGTCTATCAGGTGCCAACTCCACGTTTTAGATCGGGTAAAAGTCTGCGAGGGAAGGAAAAGGTTTTTGCTGGGAAAAACAAAAAAAACAAAAACAGAAAGCATTCACCATTAAAAAAAGCTCCGATGCTTTTGCATGTTTTCTTTCACATTCATTTGTATCCACAAACACAAGGAACTGAGCCAATATTGATACGGCCCTGCAGGCTGCTCAGCCCACCATATTGAAGAGTAAATACAGCCACAGTGATAAGGAAAAGGGAAAGGGAGCCCGCATAAAAACAGTAAGTAGCCGGACAGCTTTACACTGGAATATTAGTAGATGCTTCAATAATTGCTTAACTTTTTGGATAACTGATGCTTTTGCAATTTTTCACAGGGAAGATTTTGACAAATATTAGTTCCATCTGGCGCGGTGAGAGTTTGCTGTTTTTTTGTAACTTATCAATCAACTGAAAATCTTGTGACGACAAAGTCAAACACTTACTGGCTCATTTTAGGATGAGGAAAGAAACAGTATTTTACTTGTTAATACCTTATTTTTTTATAATTTACAATTGTTATGGATATAGATTTGCCGCTAAAACGTTCTCAGGAAACTGATTACACGTCTTCCTTTTGTCCGTCTCTTTTCTGGGATAAGACTTTAACTCCATCGCTGGACAAATTCTAATGTAGCGGATTATCAGAACTAGCAAAACCTTTTCAATTCCCATCCTACAATATGAGATGCAGAAGCAGAACCCAGTCATCTTTTGAACTGCGGTTTGAGGCTCTAAGAGACTGATCGATCCCTGAAGAAGAGGCTTCTCCTCACCTGGACGATCTCCAGCATCTCGGCCCGGCTGATGTACCCGTTCCCGTCCAAGTCGTACATGCTGAAGGCCCAGCGCAGCTTCTGCTCCAAGCCGCCGCGGGAGGTCACGCTGAGGGCGATGATGAACTCCCTGAAGTCGATGGTGGCGTCTCCGTTGGTGTCGAACGTGCGGAACACGTGCTCGGCGAACTTCGAGGCGTCTCCGTAGGGGAAAAAGTTGGCGTAGATCTTCTTGAACTCCTCCACCGTCAGGTGGCCGGTCGGACAGTCCTTGAGGAAGCCGCGGTACCACTCCTGGAGCTCGTGGTCAGTGAACTCTGTGTTTTCTCGCAGGTCGTTGAGGACCTCGGGCCGCAGCTTGCTGTTCTGCTTCCCCATGACGCGGCGCTCTCGGGCGGGTGCTTCTACCTTCTCCCTTTCGCTCTCCACGCCGCCGGCTGCTCGGCTCCTGCAGGAGACCAGCGATGCTCATTAATTAATATCCTCGCGCGAACGCCATGAATGATTCATTGGTTCAATGATTCCTCTCGCAGCTCGCAGCGGCGTTTGTTCAATCGCAAAAACACGCGCTGATGATCCTTCTCAGGCTGGACAGTTGAGACGATGTCCATGCAGATCTCATGCGCTTACAATATGTGTGGTGTTGATGCTCCGGCACAGTGATGATTGATTGACCTTTAATTGTATGGGGCAGGGACACTGTAAAAGGTCAGGCTGATAATGACCAGTGTTACAGAGAAAGCCGGACCTCAACAATATTCCTCACAGTTGCGTAAAAATGTCTATTCCAAGTGATGTTAAAGGGAGGGGGGGGCACACAGTGATCAATGAGAGAAAGACGGACAAAGGGGAAAAAGTGCCAATGCTAACAAGGACACCGAGGCGTTGACCAGCTGGACCCATTCACCTCTGTTTTGTGTGGTTTGTCTAAATTGCGTTTCCATGGTTATCATATGTGTATTCATGTATGCAGCGGTATTCATGATGATGGGGATGTGCAGATGCATAAAAACAACACATTCGGGGACAAAAGCACAACAATATTATTATAAGTATTAGACGGGACACTGTGTACATGCAGCACATCGATGAAGCACAGGCCAACAGGGGTCGGTTGATAAGCATAACGCTTATGACGCTTGCATCCCGAGAGAAGACAAAATGTCCATGTTCCTTCCAGAGATTTGGTCAGCAGGGGCAGTGCTATAAAGAAACCAATGTATTGTCTGTTACATGGGGAAATTAAACCCATGCGGATGTCCTCCTTTACAGTAGTAATCATTAATTATGGGTTTGAGAACAGCCTTTGTATGAAAGAAAAGAACAGAAAGAAAAGGGTCATGTAAAAAAATGATTTTAAAAAGAACAGTTGAAAAAAAAAAAAAAACACACGCCAGCTTTGCCTTTTTCAGAAATGAAAAAGAGAAATTCACCACAACCCGAGAAAACAATTTTGGTGAGTTGTGTGTGGGAGGGAAAGCAACAGTGATGTGCGGGGAGGAAGAAAGAATAGAAAAGCTATGACACATAAAAGGAAGAACTATTTCCAGCTAATACCAGTGGTTACATTATATAAAAAGCCTTCTGAATAACACGTCCACTCCTCTGTGTTTCGTATAATTAATTTATGGGAGGTAGTTCGCTTTCTGCCAATTATTGAAATCCCATTCCCCCTGTGCCGTGGGCACCGCGGCGATTTTTATCTGCTGTGGAACAAACGGGAGCCCTGTGAAATTGGATGATGTCTTTTCAACACGCAGGAGCCCTTTTTTCTCATAATTGTCAAATTTCTTGCGATTTTTACGAATAGTAAGTCAGAGGCAGGCAGATTTTAGGACCAGCCAGCCCCATAATGGCAACACAACATCCTCCGGCCCCCCCGGGTGGCCGAGGACCCAATAAAACTGCAATCGCCGACACGTGATGCGGTTCACTCCAGTTTCCCTAACACACTTTAAATGAATGCATTGGGTACGATGTTGATCCCTGTAATGGTAAAATTACCTTGTATTGTATCATTATTTTCTGGGACATATTTGGACTTTTAAACGGCAGACGTGGTCTGTGAGGCTGAGCTTAACGTAATGCGAACATGTAACATGCAAAACTACGTCTTAATGCAATTCTGTCTGTCAAGTAGAAATTAGATTCTGGAAGAAACGTTAGGGGATCGCCGAGGCCATAACCGTTCATCATCGGCTCCATGATGGACCCTATTCAATCACAATAAGCACAAAGGCCCTTCGTTGCATTTTAAAGTAGCAACAACACGATCACATCACGGCATCGTGAGTGTCCTTAACCACCGTGGCAGCAGGCTTGTGACTGTAGAATAAAAGCCTTTTCGCGTTGACGACGCAACGTCACGCTTGGCTGACAGCTGGAACACGGCCACAGTATGAATTACACACTGGACCGCCGCCTCCCGCTCTGACGTGCAGCAGGACGGGGGGAGGGGGGAGGGGGACGACAGCGGCATGTCCTCAGCTTCCGGGTCACGTGGACTCTTCCAGGACAGCTCAGTGAGCAGGCTGAGCTGGAACAGACATGAGGATGGGCGTTTCCCCTCATTCCCACGTACGCCACACAAACCCCGAGGAAGGAAAGCCAGCAGAGTGTTTTAGGAACCTCTGCTGCCGAGTTAGGAGCCGGCTTCACGGAGGACACAGAAATAAACTCAGTAATTATGATGGGAATAAAAAAAAAAAAGAAAGAAGGACAGTGTCACAACACTGATTTCAATTTCTCGCTTTCTGTTCTGTCCACATGTGAAATGTTGCTGCAGGCAAACCGTCTGAAGGGCTCCTGTGGGTGGTGCTTCGCCGTGTTACCTGCTGCAGGTGCACCGCGAGGCAATTAGCCGCATTGTTCTTCTGTTCTGAAGCTGTTCCTTGTGTACGGAACGAACGCCATTCGAGGCGTCAACAGGATGCTTTCGGATGTTTTCACAGCTGGGATGGAGGTAGGTCCCCTTTCTGAACATCGTGCGGTCAGAAATAACCGCCGGACCATCACTCTGACATCTACGTGACCTCCTCTGCAAAGAAAGTAAGGCTCTCAGTGACCGAACACCTCGACGATTACATTTTTGGGGGGGAGGGGGGGGGGGATTCCGTGTCAGCAGTTCGCCGCGATCACACGGGCCGCCTTTTCTCTTCTTTTCCCCCCCCCCCCCCCCCGCCCACCACCTCCACCATGGCCGTTCCCGCTCCGCACAGTTTCCAGTAGGTTCCCAGCGTAATGAGACTGGTTCACACGGGGCCCAAAGGCCGCAGTGGAGATCTTTTAAACCAACGACGAGTCGAGTTTCCCTGCTATTTGACATTCTCAGGGCCACTTCATTTCCTGGGGCTTTTTTTCACAAGCACGGAACCCTCCATTCTTTTCCCAGAATCGCATTACTTCTTGTAATAACAAAGAAGAAATCCAGAAGACGGGAAGGAACGGATGATTTAGGGGTGTTTGTCCAGATGTGTAGTAGTAGGAGATGATCCGTCCATGAAGCACGACACAAAGCTGATGGAGCTCGTCAGGCTTCTGACAGTTAGTGAGTGTGAAAAACTGTTTACATCCAAATAAAATAAGGATTAACAGATATAAATAACAGAAAAGAATGAATTATTACTTGACAACACATTCAACCGTGTATAAAAATGCGAAATTGTGAAGAGGATTTTTTATTATTCTTCGACGTTGGATAGACCACACCATGAACCAAAAGAATGAATAATAAGCTCTAAAACGGACTTTGTCAAGTGGCTGAATCATCCACAACCATGAACATTTCCCACACTCAAATATTTTCCATCCCGTCTGTGTTGTGGCTCTCTGGAAAGGAATGTAAGGCAAACAAAGTGATACGGTTGGGCGCAAGGGAAGGAAAGCGGCGTGCGCTTCTCAGTGGTGCGTGCTGCGCGGCGGGCGAGCAGAAGCCGCGATGCAGCCTGAGGTTTGTGCGCGCTGCTCGTAACTCGGCACGCATCACGAGGAGGGTGACAAGAGGAGGTAAAAAAAATAAATTTAAAAAAAGGATGGAGATTTGCTTTCAAGTCATACTGGCTTCCAGCGCTGCTTCGTGGAGTCTTTTGAACCGGTGTCGGAAAATCAAGCAGCGGATCAGGACAAAAAAATCCCCCTGACACGCCAGTAGTCAAGGCAACAGGATGGTGGTGCTGAGGCTTATGAGAGAGAGGCGGCGTAACTAATATACACCGAGACCTCTGCGTGTTTGCTGTTAGTTTCAAAGACAGGTTCATCTAATGCAGCATTATTTCTTCTAATCTATTTATTTTTTATTTTAAGCAAAATCATTAAGTGTATTTCTTTCTTAGTAGCAAAGTGGTCGGGATTTTATTCTTATTAACTTATAATTTGGGATACACTGTTTACAAATTGCTCTGTTATTGTTATCAAAAAGAGTGGAATAGTGTTTTTTATGCACCGGTCTAATTATGGTGGCACACAAACATCGTTTGTCTACACAACATATACTTTTGTTCAGTTTTATCATTTATCGACAGTAGAATCATATTGTGATGGTGTGAACTTCTCATGCACTCGTTATACAAATATCTGTTATATGAAAAAAGTCAAGCAAGCTGTGATTGTAAATTACAAAAGTTAGTTGAAAATATTGAGCTCAAAGAGACTGTAAGTCCCTTCATTTGTTTTTTATTTTTGGAGGTGCCTCTGAATAAAAGTCATATTTCTGAAGGATATTTAGAAAAGCTCTCATTTCACTACAGCAGGATCTCCACCGGGTTCTGGTTGGCCCGTGTCTCCCCCGGCATTATGTCCCAGGCCCCCAGGAGCCCAGTAGGGGCCCGTCGCAGCAGAGCTCACCTCCTCCCGCATCCGACTGCCAGGATCAGGGCCCCTCGGGTGGCGGGGCCCCGCCGGGGAGGCCCCCCGCTAAAAGGTGGCCCTGGTGAACCTGCATGAATCCACCGGATTTCAACTCGGAACATTTAGGAATATGGGGGTACAGAAACCCGCTAACAGACCTGTTTTGTTACGTAGTTCCCGTGGAGGAATCAGCATCAAATTGAGAATTGCTTTATTGGAGTTCCTCACATTAACTTTGGATTTTCTTGTTCACAAGACAGAAAAAAAACACACAATTGCACCGAAGATTGTCTATTGCTTAGTTATTGTATTTTCTGAGTGTTTGATTTAGAGAGATCAATTAATTGCTGAACAGTTTCATTTGTTTAATGTATTTTAAATGGTTGCATCATACCTTTAATGACGTAGAGAAAATGCCCTGAAGTTGGGTTAAACTTTAAAATATTCTTTAACACATTTGAAAGCCTTGGTGAGACTTGTGGGTTCGTCTTGTAACGTTACGTGTGTAACGGAAAGCTCGTAAACACAGCGGAAACGGGTTAGCAGCTTTAACCCTTCCAATAACGTCACGTTCACTTACCTGTTAGAGGTGTCGGAGCTGCTCGTGAATCCTCCCGATGGAAAAGTCCGCTTTTTGCAACTTCACGTCACCGGCTCCCGAGCGTCAACTTAACCGTTAACTCACACTCCTCTTATCGGCGGACGGTCTGAATCAAGATTTACGACCGTCTGGGTCTTTTCGAGAGGAAACATGTATTTGTAGTCTGAGCGGAACGGGCTAAGTGTTGATTTTTGGAAGCTGCGTTGTCATTTCTTTTCGCTGCCGCCGATGAAGCCGCTTTATCATTTAGTGGAAGATGTGGCACAGGGCTCGGTTTTCAGCTGACTTCCCGACTTTACAACTCAAGGGGTGTGCTTTTTTTCCTCGAAGGCGATTTAATATACTTGGTCTATATGCTAGAGAAGCAAGCACTCTTAATCGTGATAAATAAAGTAACATGCGTGTAAAATTTAAACGTGGTTGTTATTCACAATGTATTTTATAACGATTTTACGACTTGTTGTACTTAAATCCCCCCCCCCCCCGCCCACGGAATGGATCCGTCCACACTCACTGCTTCCATCGTAGAAACTGTCGCAGCAGCGTCCTGTGGAAAATTATCACAGGAGACTATTATTAGAACAATATCTCAAATAGACAGTTCACATTTATGGGAAAATCTTGATACTGAAAGGAAAACTCAGCAACTGCTCATGACGTACTTATTACAATGCGGACCTCACAACACAAGTAATTAAATAGTCAAATTTAGATTAAATATATATATTCAATTCAGATTAAATCACATAGGCAAGAATTTGACAGGCCTACATCTACCATGACACTGTACCCAATCAGAGAAATATACAGAACAACTTGGAGTAGCACAGATATTGACATCATGACAATCTTTTTTTTCCAATTATTTATAGCTTACAAACATCAATATCATCATGAGCTCTGAAAATAAATGTACTTCATCCATCACACGTCCAACTCCCGTTGTGGAACAAGCTGCACCGCACAGTATTAGTATCAAAAAACCTATATATGTTACATTTTTAAAAAAGGGTTACCACCTAATTACATCTTTCCCCAGACTGCTCTCTGTTAGCTTCACTGAAGTCGTACACCCGTCCATCACTGACCTCTCTTGTGTATGCTAAGGTGACCCTGAAGACAGGGCGGTGTGTATGTCAGCATTTCATTGAGTGGATAAATAATTAACTGTGTGTGCGTGTGTCTTCCTGAAGCTTGACACCTACAAGCACATGGAATGGTTATCTCCACCTACGAGTGAGCACAATACAGACTGATCGCGGCGTCTGAGGCAGCGTTAAACTATCTGAGTGGTAGTACTGCCAATTTGAAACTTGAAATACTGTCGTTGCCGGAGTACTGAGTATGAAAAGTCATTGTGACTTGTTTGAGCCCAGGATCACAGGACTCAATGACTACAGGCCCGTCGCCCTGACCTCTGTAGTCATGAAGTCTTTTGAATGGCTAGTCCTGACCCACCTGAAGTCCCTCCTGGACCCCCTCCTGGACCCCCTGCAGTTCGCCCACAGAGCCAACAGGTCTGTGGACGATGCTGTCAACATGGCCCTCCACTACATCCTCCAGCATCTGGACTCCCCAGGAACCTACGCCAGGATCCTGTTTGTGGGCTTCAGCTCTGCCTTCAACACCATCATCCCGTCTCTGCTGCAGGACAAACTCTCCCAGCTGCACGTGCCTGACTCCACCTGCAAGTGGATCACAGACTTCCTGTCTGACAGGAAGCAGCATGTGAAGCTGGGGAAACATGTCTCAGCCTCCAGGACCATCAGCACCGGTTCCCCCCCAAGGCTGTGTTCTTTCCCCTCTGCTCTTCTCCCTGTACACCAACAGCTGCACCTCCAGTCACCAGTCCGTCAAGCTCCTGAAGTTTGCGGATGACACCACACTCATTGGACTAATCTCTGGTGGGGACGAGTCCGCCTACAGGTGGGAGTCTGACCATCTGGTGTCGTGGTGCAGTCAGAACAACCTGGAGCTCAACGCTCTAAAGACAGTGGAGATGGTTGTGGATTTCCGGCGGAACAGAGCCCCACCCCCCCCCATCACCCTGTGTGACTCCCCCGTCACTATTGTGGATTCCTTCCGTTTCCTGGGCTCCATCATCACCCAGGACCTCAAGTGGGAGCTGAACATCAGCTCCATCACCAAGAAGGCTCAGCAGAGGTTGTTCTTCCTGAGGCAGCTGAAGAAATTCAACCTGCCAAAGACGATGATGATCCACTTCTACACGGCCATCATGGAGTCCATCCTCTGCTCCTCCATCACCGTCTGGTACGCTGCAGCCACAGCCAAGGGCAAGGGCAGGCTGCAGCATGTCATCCGCTCTGCAGAGAGGGTGATCGGCTTCAATCTGCCGTCCCTGCAGGACTTGTTCGCTTCCAGGTCTCTGAAGCAGCTAAAAAGATCGTGGCCGACCCCTCCCACCCCGGACAAAAACTCTTTGTGCCACTTAGCATTTAATTTTACTTTATTTTATTACTTACACTGCTGTCTTGTCTATTGTCACATTGTCTACTGTCGCGCACCACCCGGCAAGACAAATTCCTTGTATGTTATGGTAATAAATCTTTCCTGATTCCTGATTCCTGATTGATGCATCTCTTAAATACCTTTTAGGGTAAATTTCCTAGTATCTAAGTTTAAAAAAAACAAAATGTTTCATTCAGCCACTACTTTCAAACCATTTTCATTTGATGCTCTAATCCCAGAGATTACTTTAAAATGAGTGAGCACGGATTAAATATATCCAGTCTTCCTCAAAGACACAAACAAACAAAATGACTGCTGCTGTGATTGAACACGAGACAGTCTGCTAATGTAGGAATAGTGTTTTAATAGTGAAAATGTCCGTGTGGCTCTGTAGCGACGTAATGATCCACTAGAGGACACTGGCAGCCTCCCCTCGTTTATTTCTGTACTGTTGTTCTGTGTTACGCCAGAAGCTGGGAACCAAACCTCAGCTGATGGGTGACTTTTACTAGACCAGTCAAGTGTGCAATTCTGCCATAAGGATGCATACAAGAATTGTATAAGAATTCTACTGTTCTGAAGCTGAAAGATCATGTTACCTGTATTCAATTTGTTTCATTATGAAACCAACACAAATTCAGTAGCTCTGGAAGCCTTTATTTAGGTTTCAAGTGTATTTTTTTGACAGTATGAAGGTTGTTATTACAAGGGGTGTGTTATTACAAGGGACCCCTTGACGGCCAGTGAGGAGGAGGAATGAAGTGTCAGTATGAAACAGATATTAAACGTTTGTGACTCCCCACAACCTTGAGAAGTCCTCGAGCACGCAGCCATAACTGACGGTGCAAAATGTTGTGCAGTTTGCTGCAACGGAGGCTGATGTGAGCCATGGACAGACACAAAGGTAAACATTCACTCAAAACAGCCGAGTGATTGCATGATTTTCTGGCAGAGATTATATGTATATATGTATATATAAATTATCATGGGACACTGCGAGCCTGAGCAATTGCTCTATCTGCACAGTCTGCACGAGAACAATGAACAATATTCTCACTTCTAACTGTATTTTCTGGTGATGTGACTCCATGCATTAAGCACCTCACTGTGTTGTAATGGATGACATCACATGACCCTGCAGGGTTTCATGCTATCCTGATTTGAAAAGATTGAGTCAGGTCAAGTCCACACATGTTGCAAGGCACTGTTGAATTTCTTCATAAAATAAGCCGTTGAACCTCTGTCCTCCGTGGAACATGTGCAGGATTAATGAAAATCAGTCCCTGCAGCTGCAGGCGCTCCTCAAATATTGATCAGGCAGTCTTCACAATAAACAGAGTGAGGGGCAACGCTCCCCTCAATGGTCTTCTGTCAATATTTAGGGAACACGTGGTACTGAAATCAAGGTTTGACTTTATTGGGACAGAATGGCTATTTTCAATTCAGTTTATTTCTACAGTTTCTACCACTATTTTGACACATTTCAATTATTGTCGTCAAAAGGTTTTTCTATAACGGAAAGCAATTTCTATTTTTGCTTTTAGCTTTATACAAGTGGAGAAACTGTGCCATTGTTTTCCTTTTTGTGGGATTTCCCCAAGTTTTTTCCCACACATTTCTGTCCTTTCTATGAAATGCATTCATTTCAGTTTCAGTCTACTTATAAATGCTATCAGACATTTTGGGAATACTTTTATTTGTTTATGATATAAATTGTACAGCAGTGACTTATTATCAATACTGATAAGCTCTTTTTCTGTGCAACCGGCAGATTACTTATCATATCTGCCAAACATCACTTCTTACTGAGTTGTGTTTAAATGCTAACCAAAATTCCCTTGAAGTTTCTAGACGTAAAGTAGCACCCTTGACCCTCATAAACGCCTTGTAGCACCCGTATCACCACACTGTTGCTGATTATGTGTGCAGTGAACACATTATCTTAAGACTCCTGTGTTTCGTCAAAGCGTATTCAGAAGATTCATTTTCAATCAAAAGCTCTGTGACCTGCAGATAATTGGGCCCTAAGCATTTAAGCTGGGAAAGCAACTGCATTCAACAATACGAGTAATTATGAGCTGAAGCCATGTCTCCCAAATCATTTTGGCGTGTCAACTAAAATGATCAACCAAGAACATATTTAGTGCAGGACAGCCCTAGTTGAAGTCATTTTATGATTTTATTTCAAGGGTTGAAATCCAAAGGAAACATTGCATGTTTAATTTATTCACTAAGAGATACATTAAGATGTGTTGAAGCAGAGATGATAAGCAGATGCCTGGATGCAGATAGTCATGGTACCCAACTGATGCACAGAATTACTCCATTGTACAATCCATATATTAGAATGTCTAACAATCAGTTTTCAGTGGTCTCACTTTTTTTGTTGCAATAATGAATTATGCTTGGTGACACATTCAGAGCTTTTGTAGAAGCTTATCATTTTACACTTCATAGTATACTAAAACAAGTGAGACATAAATCTACCTGATGTATATTCACCTCAATAACTCTGAATACCCTTTGGTCTGTTTCATAGAATCAGTAAAGTTTTATCAGGTTGTCTTAAGTGCTATCGTTCAGTTACAGATACGGCTAAAGAACTGTGAGACTCTGTATGAGGAACATGGTCAGTTATGGTCAGTTATGACTGAGTGATACCCTGTACATGACATCATTCTGTCTGAACTTTCCGCCAATATTTGTTAAACCACATTGACTGATACTGCAGGTCAGTAAACTGTTAAATATTTTGCAAGCTGTATTAACATAGTTGCAGATTAGAGCTTTTCTTACTTTTTACATGATAAATTAATTATGAAGATTGAGAAACTGAAATATAGTGTTGGTGTTGCATAAAACATCTACAACTATTAACTAAGTCAATTTAATTTGCATCCAATTTTTACATGCATTTACACTTGCATTGTAAAATAGTTCATGTAAATAAGACATCAGAGAATGTAGACCTAGTTATGCATATAAGTTATGCATAATCAATATACCCAAATGTAATATTCTGGTAGTCAATGTTGATTGGCAAATAAAAAGAATACCTAAAGTTGTAGATAATAGATGAATAATATTTGACATTTACTGTGCATCATTTTTCATATAAAAGTTGGTCTATAATAAAACCCTTTGTCTCTCCACAGGAGATTCCAATAGAGTAACATTGCTTCACTTTTGGTACCAATGACTATGCTGCGGCTTCCTTGTTTCACTGTTTTTGCGTTTTCTACCACGAGCACAAGGCACAAAGTGCAGATCGCAAGTAAGCAATGCGCCGGGGGCATTTGGCTGGACACAAATGGCGAGACTGAAAACAGGCTGATGCAACAGGGATTATATGCTGATAGTGAACATGGCCTCCATGGGTCCTATCATCCCCTTTAAAAGCAGTTTGATTGTTCTTACAATTCAAGACTAACAGGTTACTCCGTACAATGAAATTATTCCACAAAATTACAATAACATACTAAAAAAAGAGAAAAATATATGAATATGTACATATGCATTAGGCATACGGCTAAAGTGATCTTGTGAAGGAACCAGCACTCAAAGCTCATGTTATGAGACTAAAATGGAGTTTGCAGGTTTGTCAGACTACTCATTACAATAATCCATATGGTGGGGTTGGGAAATGTGGTGGTGGAGACTACAGATAATCAGCGAAGCATGCAGCTGATAACATCGACATTGCTGGATCGCTTTCAATGAATTGAAGTTATCATATGCCTTCATCGTGCATTTTCATGCATAACAACTTTCAGACAACTTCACAGAGAATAAATTAACGATAAAGTTGAGTAAAACTTAGAAAATATATCCAGTGCTCTCAATGGATTTAACAGTTGACCTTTATGACAAGTGATTAGGTAAGAGGGCCTCCTGTTGCCCTGCAGGGGGGTTGCACATGTCTGTTCCCCTGTCACATGGGTCCAAAAGTTTATAATCACTCTAGTGGGCCTGAACAAAAATGATGCACCATTTTATCATTTCTTTTGACCAAAATGAAGAAAATTTGAATGGATGTGATCAGCTTTACTTTAGGTAGCGAGTATTTTCACTGTCTTCTATGACCTGTTATTCTTCCTCATTTTCTATAACGCAAAAAGAAGATTTTACATCTCGAGCTTGTTCAAAATGCTACAGCTAGAATTTTAACATAGAGAGCGTATAACCATACGTAACCAATAACTTATAAGTAGCTTTCCAAACTGACTTCACAATGTTACAAAAGTGTTTTGTTATGCCGCTCGTTATATTGCTGATCTATTACATTTTTATAATCCTAAATGCAGCCTTGAATTATAAATTGTTTAAAAAGTGTATAAAAAGTTTCCTTTGGTTGTTCTGCTGGACCTTTGCAGGACTAAAAGAGACATTCTCACTATAAGGCCATCGTTTTTTTGGAGAAAAAAATCTTCCAAATCCCTTCCACAAGCACGCTTTTATACACAGGATTTGTCAATATTGTGCTATGCAAATGCAGGTTATTACTGTTATTACTAGATATTTCATCTGCGGTTATTGTTTTATAAGTGAAGAACTGATATTAATTTGCAGAACATGAAGCAACTTAGTGGAGGTAGTTTGTAATTGATGCAGTTATAACACTGTGAAACAGGAAACTTTTATCTTTGACTAATAATAACTGTTGCCCCCATCAGGCCTTGGCACATCAGTCCTTGGCACATCTGTCCTTGGCACAAGAATATTGAGAAAATAGGGTCAAGGTTGAAAAAGTTTGCATTTGAATGTTTTGTTATAGAATATCTTAAACAAAAGGTCCCTTTTCTGTGTATGTGTGGGATTAAATGAAGCTAGTATTGCCTGGAATTGTCCTCTCAGAGGCCTGACATCCTTTAGTGAATGGCGCCTGCATTCAACTGCAATGAAGCTTGCCGTATTAAACCTCAAGATTGTATATTTACATTCATCTCTAGTCAAAAACTATTTATTTTTTATCTAAGGTAAAACTAAATTCATATAAATACATAAAAATGAACAGAATGAATTGAAGCTTCAGCCAAGAGTCTAAAGAGACCTCAAACTCCCTTTGGACTCTGTGTCCGTGTACATGTTTGTCTGTGTCAACACTGTCAGTAGCTCACAAACATTTTAAAAGCTCCTGATGGGGATATATTGCACCAGACGTTACACAACATTCAAATATTGGCTATGTAAAATAGCAAAACTGTAAAATAAAAAAATATATATATATTTCAGCGAATATACGTTTTTTTTTCTGTTTATTCAATTCATATGTGGTCCCTGTCGTCCCATATTGAACTCTGGGTAAACATGTGAGTAGAGCAAAGGTCATCATATAAACCATATTGATGTTTGGCAAATGTTTTCACAGTTTTCCTTGTGGCTCGTGGCAGTGGAAGCAGAGCAACAAGCAACTCTTTTACCAAGTGCTATACAGTAAGTATTGTGACTACAATTATTTTAACAATTAAGATGAGCCACGTTGCTATTTTAAACACCGAGTGTAGTGTGTGTAGTATGTTTAATCAAATTACATAAAGATGTGAAAGATCACAGATATAGGTTTTATGTAATGTAACAGCAATATTTAATAATTTGCCTTTCTACAGTTGAAAAAATGTTATAAGACCAATGTAACATTTAATTAAGGGACTAAATCCTCTGTTAAGATGTTGGTTGTTTTTTGGGTCAATACCATCGACAGGTAAAGTAAAGGACATGATAATAACCTTTTTTTCCATCTCGAGGGACTTTGTGTTTGTAGTACGCCGTGATCACTCAGTGGTCACTAATGAGTCCTTATCAGTGACCTAATTTACGCTGTTAGTTTACTGACATTGCATTTTTACAGCAGAAGCCTGCTAATAGCAACATTCCCTTATTTTTTTATTGTTTCAAATATTTTCCCAACATTCCTAGGTCAAGGCACACTCCTTCACTCTAACCCTTTGTCATGTGAATCTTCAAAATAAATAACTGCAAATCGTAGGAACTACGATCATTCTTAAGTAAAATAATGGCTTATTAAACATATTGCCGAAGTTATTTATTTTATCATCGAATGCCCACAAATGGTCCGAGATATGTTTGAAAAAAGTAGGAAGCCTTGTGACAATACAACTGCTCTTTGTGTGTACTTAAATTAGACTAAAATATTACAAAACCACCAATATCTGTAAAGGCTAATCGTTTGAGTAATCAGGAATCAGAAACATTTATTGCCAAAACATGTTAGACATACAAGGAATTTGACATGGCGGTTGTTGCATAACATTGGACAGTAAGACAATGAGACAATGGACAACAAGACAAATAACAAATTCCATTAATCAATCTCAATCAATCTCTTACGTGCTTTTAAATATCGATGTAGAGCAACATTGACAGGCCGAAAGGCGTAATTTTGAAGATTTAACACAATCGGGTGTTTTCAGCCTCGAGACCCCCTGTAAGCCTTTCGCCTTTGTCGCCCCACAGAGGAGGGTGGAGTGGACTTTGAGCGTTCAAAACACTGTCCGTGCCTCCCTGTCCCCTGATAGAGCCCGGCTGGGGGATAAAAGCCCCGAGCTGAAGCTGAGAAATCAGTCTCAACTGAGTACTCGCCAATAACAAGGGAGAGCAGCAGCTAACCCATGATGGGGGACCCAAAGCTCGGCCTTTTGCTGCTCCTCAGCACATCTGCATTGGCCTGTAAGTACTTCTCGTTAAGCATTTCTTCGAGCGTTGTACATAGTATTTTCTGCATGATTATTAGCCACTATATGCTGCAGATAATGGAATCCTAAATTGCATTGCTTCAATCATTTCCGTAAGACGGGACAATGCAGTTTAACATAACATAAAACTCCAAAATGTAATAATGATTTTCTATAATGTGATTTTCTAATGGATTACTTTTGTCCCTTGTTCAGATATGGATGAAATATAGTTTTCACCATAAAATGCACTACAAATGTGGAAATAAAAAGAAATACCACAATTCAACAACACACATAACACCTTCTACTTAATTTAAAGTGCAATAACCCAAACTGGGTATAGCTCTGGTTTGCTTTTAGCCACCACTTTATTTATTATGTTTGGGATTGATTAGATTCCTTTTGGTAATTTAGTTTATGGAGAAAGTTGATTTAAAAATGTTGATTTAGTGATTCTCGTTTTCCAATATATGAACACAGAAAAACTGTCTTTATTTATTCAACACAAGATTACTATGTTGCAGCTATTGCCGAACATCCTCTAAGTAAACAACACTGTTTCCTAGGTGACAGCTTATACTTATATGAAAACACAATCTCCTTAAAAATGAAGTCAGTCCTTTACAAGTATCAGACAAATGATTAAACCTTAGGAAATACAACACCAATTCTATTTTATATAGATGGCTTTGTTTGATCAACTTTCACACACTGTTCTCTTAGGTGTAGGTATGATGTAAACCAATCCACTGTTGGTTTTGAAAAAAGATCACTTAAATAGCAGAATTCCATGGTTGAATGTAAAATAAACTTTATAAAAACAACTATATTATTATAAAATTGAAATGTAACCCACCTGTGTGGAGACATGCTATAATAATATCACGAGCCTATTATGAGAAGGACTTGCAGATAAGTGTAGTTACAGGAGTAGTCAGTTGCATTACAAATGCTAAAGAATAAATGATCTGTGTTCTTTTCCCGTACAGTTGCTCAAGATCAAGATCAGCCGGCCTGCTTATGTAAGTCAATGAGTTCAACCTTTTTGTTGACAACCAGTTTATCACACAGACATTTTAGTTTTTGGGGGTGAAGAAAGATGACCTTGGCATACAAAATATCTTCTTGCCATTCATTTCTCTTCTAGTGGCCGAAAGGTACAAGACCCTCCACAAGTATGAATACATATATGAAGCTGAATCGTTGAATTCCATCAACGGAGGCTCACCGCTCAAGAACGGACCCATGGCCTCTTGCACGGTGCGAGAAAGACGCGATCATGTTTAGTCATCGGATTTTTTATCCTTCCATCTTAAATTTCTCACAGTGAGGTAAAAAAATGTTTTCCCTTTCTCACAGGTTGAAATCGAGGTACCTCAGACCTGTAGTTTCATCGTCCGCACCACCGGCTGTATCCTGTATCAGGTGGTTGACATGGAAGCAGAGGGAACCCCTGTCTTCGGTCCAGCGCCAAGCTCTGATGCCTTCGCTGCTGAGATGGAGAAGTTAGTTAAATTAAAAAGATCCCTTGAGTCAAAAATATTCATTTTCTGTCAGTCTGATATCTGTGGGGGATTTGAACTCATAATCAAGCTAATATCTAATATCTTAAATATTTTAGGTATCCTCTGAAGGTTGTGGTTAGCGGAGTGTACGATGTGAAACTGTACCCGGAGGATGGTGAGACAACAACCATTTTGAACATGAAGAGGGGCATCATCTCTGCCCTGGCTGTGCCTCTGCTGGAAGAAGACAAGAACAAAAGAATGGTGCAGTACTTAATCTTCATATTCATACTTTAGTACCCGCAACACCACACTTTAATTTAGTTTTATTCCTTCTCATATCTTATATTTCAGCCTACCATACATGGCAAGTGCAGGACCTATTCCACCGTCAACGCTAGAGAGGACATCGCAACGGACATCAGCCTCGAGAGGGACCTGTCCACATGTGACAAATTTGTCCCATTGAGAGATCACACAAGCCCCTTGGCACTCATCTCTGGCACGGTAAGATCAAATCGTCCATGGTAGCAACAAGGAATAATCTTCAAGAGTTGTTTAAATAGATAACTACTTCATTCCATTTACTGTCCTATACATCCCGCCTTGGATGAGAATAAGCATGGTGCAGAGGGATGGTCCCTATGCTTCTGAGAGCAGCAGGAGTACGTTTGGCGTAGGTTAGACTGTCAGGGCCAAAACGGACTCATCTGCAAAAAATTATATTTACTGAAAGTGGTATCTTTCATTACAATTCTATCATATCACTGCATTAATCTAATTATTTGTCTATTTTCCAGCACTACCCTCTGGCCCAGATGGTCAGAAGCTCCCAGACCTGCAACTACAAGTTTGACAATGAGGGGAAACACATGACCTCTGGGTCATGCACAGAAAACCACATGGTCATTCCCTATTCTCACAAGTAAATCAAACCCTATATTAGACTTTGAAATGCTCTGTCATTCAAGTGTATTTATTGATACTTTTAAAAAAAAAACACTGACAGTACTTTTTTCTACAGGGGACAATATGGAGTTACAAACGTTGGAAAGCAAAAACTGACTTTAGTTGAGGTCTCTCCTCACAACGACAGAGTATTTTACCACAGTAAGTCCTTTGGTTAATTCATATTCTTTTTATATAGAGGTAATTATTTGAATACGGTCAATAAAACTAACCATGTTGCTTGTGCATCACAGGTGACATTGAGAAGGGTCTTCACATGGACAACGTGGAAGACAAGAGTGCTGTCCAGGATAAAGATGCATGTCTCAACCTCCTGAGAGAACTGGCCACTCTTCCCGACACTGAGGGTGAAAGGCGGGCCCACCTCTTCCACAAGCTTGTCACCATAGTCCGTGGAATGAAGGCTGAGACCTTGAGCACCAGCATCCCAGAGGCTCTTGCTGTGTCCCGTGTCCTGACCTATCAGGTTCTGGCCCAGTGTGGAACCCCTGAGTGCAGCAGCACCATCATGCAGATCCTCAGGACGTTTGACAGCTCCTCAGCGGAGGTAGATGCCGGTGTTTTCGCGATGGGACTGGTGTCCAATCCCTCCGCCCTCCTGATCAACGACATGCTCGAGATGGTCAAATACAAGCCCAGCAAGCCCATTATGTACGCCCTGAGCAATATTGTGAAGAGGTGAGTGAAGTTATCCAAACTTAATCTTAGTAATATAACATTAGATCATATGCTTTCCTTCTTTGCATGGAGGTGATAATTGCTGGATTGAATTCTAAATATTTATTCAACAGGTTTTACAAAGCTGAGGGAAAGCTGATCCCAGAGATTTACTCTGTCGCTGAGCTTATGGCTGCCTATTTGGGCGACTGTTCTGGTCATAATGAAAACACTTACTTGACATTGAGAGTGCGTAACCTTCCTAATTAGTCACAATTTAAATGACTGTCAACACCAAAGGGGCATAGTATGAATGTGTCCTTTGATTCCAGGTGGTTGGAAACATGGCTCCAGCTCTGATATCTGCTGGTCCTGCACTCACATCTGCTGTGATCCAGTGTGTGAACCAACCCGCGGCTTCCCTGGCTGTGCAGCAGGCTGCCATCCAAGTGTTTAGGCTGACTCCCGTCCCCGAAGAGGCAAGTTAAACTACTTTAAAGATTTGAAACTATTTGAAACTTTGAATTTGAAACTTGAAAAGTGATTATTTTCCCTGTACAGTAATTGTTTTGATGTCTGTTGGTCACAGGGCAGAAAGGTTCTCATGCAGGTCCTTTTGGACAGCGCCAGCCCAACGCAGAAGCGTATTGCTGCATATCTGGTACTTATGAAAGACCCCAAGACCACTGAGGTGGCCCAGCTGGCTGATGCTTTGTCCACTGAGCAGGACACACAAGTCAAGAGCTTTGTGATCTCACACATTACCAACATTTTGTCCTCAACTGAGCCAGAGACCCGAGAGTAAGTAAAAATAAGTTTAATTCAATCAATTGAATGTGTTAGTTTACTATAATGTGAGGATGACCCCACATTTGATGTTTCATTCCTTCTAACAGATTGAGACAGAAGATTCGAGATGCGCTGCAGAGTAATGAGGTCGGTCGCACAATGGACCCCACCAAGTTCTCTCGTAATTACAAGATTGGATCAGTGGAGGGCAACATGATCTTTGAGGGTACCAGTTATCTACCCAAGGAGGTCATGCTTGAAATGACTCTGGAGGCATTTGGCTATGACATTGACATGATGGAGGTAAACATCTGGAGCGGTTTTCATTCAAATTGAGCTTTGAAACTATTTTCCAGTCAGCAGATATGTGACAGTGAAATACGCATCCCCTTTCAGATTGGTATGGAGGGGAAAGGATTTGAGCCAACCGTTGATGCCCTGTTTGGAAAGAATGGCTTCTTCCCCAGTACTGCCCTGAAGACCATGTACTTTGTTTCTGACAACATGCCACTCGGGATCAATGAGATCCTGCAGAAAATGCTCCCCGGTCTGAAGAAGGACAGCATGAAGAGACAGGTGTTAGACCAATCTGTTTTGTACACATGACTAACACAACTGTAATAGGCCTGATCAGTTTTTCAGTGAGTGAAAAACATTCTAAGAAAGTGTCAACATCTTTGTTTAGGGCTCCCAGAACCTGATCAGGGAGATCGGACGCAACCTCAACAAGCTGGTAAACGAATTGAGCAAGGCACAGTCTCCCGAGGCAATGGTCTATCTGAGACTTTTGGGAAATGAGTTGGGATATCTGAAGACCAATGAAATCCAGGAGATGGCCTACTCTGCTGCCAGGATGATTGACAGCATGTTCAAAATGTTCCCAACCGATGTAAGGACTCTTTTTTTCAAGACCACAGTCGAAAATCATCAAAGAAGGATTTCATTGATGTCCCATGTGTATCTTTATTTGCCACAGATCATGATGGCACTGATGACCAAGGCTGATAACACAATCTTCGCCCACTACATCTTCATGGACAATGAATTCTTCCTGCCTACTGCCACTGGTGTGCCTCTGAGGATTACTGTGTCTGGTACTTTCACGCCTGGCCTCAAGGGTGGACTTCAGGTTGCTCGTGACATGGTACATACATATAAATGTGTTTCACTTCCAGCAATATCTTTTATTATATAACGTAGCATCAAGTCTTTACGTTTCTGCTTTGGGTCTCTGCACAGAGTGAAGTGAACTTCATGCCCTCCGCTGGCATTGAGTTTGTATCTGAAATTGGCTCCTTCATCCCCGAATATGTCAACTCTGGATTAGAGATGCACAGCAACTTTTTCCACGAAAGTGGGCTCAAGGCAAAGATCTCCATGGAACGTGATAATGTGAAGCTGACCATCCCTGCTCCGACAAATCCAATTAAGCTCATCAAGATGACGTGAGTCTAAGTATCATTTTGGGATAGCGCAACAGGCTGGAAGTGCTTTACATCTGTGGTTGTAATGCTCATGCAATATCAATGTTATTTAACAAGGTTTAATAGCAACATTTTTTTCATTTTGTAATCATGGCCTCAAACAAATTATAAAGGATTTGTCATATCTTTGATTGCAGCATTTCAACTTTTCAACAATACAATTAAAACAACAAAAAATGAATTGTAATTTTTTTTTACATCTGACATTTAGAAACACGCTGGTGGGAGTGACTGGATCAAAAGTAAAGACGATGCCCCCTATGGTAATGGACAAGGTTGATGTTAGCGAGTGCACTCCTTTCTTTGCTGGAATGGAATACTGCACTGCTCTGCAGTACACTGATGCTTTCTATCAAGAGACAGCCCCCTACTTTCCCCTCACTGGAGACAGCAAGTGAGCAAAACTTTTTAAACCACTAGCACATTTCTTTTCAAAAGTTATTACTTATATTTCCTAATTATCGGAATTATCTACATAGATTTGCTGTGGAACTCCACCCTAATGGTGATGTCACTGAGTACACAGCCACTGTTGCTTATGAGCTCCTTAAGGAGGGTGAAGAGGGCCGGCAGAAGGTTGACTCTGTGAAGCTTATTCTGAGAGCTGAAGGTAAACTATAATATTGACTGTATAATATGCCTTTTCTTCTCGAGGTGTGTAACAGAGAATTATATATCTCTCCTCAATAACAGGTTCACAGCCGACTGAAGCCACAGCAATCATGAAGTATAACAGAAGAAAGAACGTCATCACTGCCGACATCCAAATCCCTGACTACGATGTGGAGGCTGGACTCCGGTTGGGTGTTGTTGATGGAAACACCAAGGGAAAGGGAACTCACTCTATTTCTCTTGACTTCATTAATAAGAACATCCCTCAGCTCTCTCTGGTTGGCCGTGCCAAGTAAGAAATCCTCATTAGCATTAATGGGACCCTCATGTTGACAGCACGCTAACTTGCATGTCATAATTTTTCAGTCTGAAGGCTATGAAGGAGGGTATGCTGCAAGTCCAGCTTCTTGTCCCCTCAATCAATGCTGATGCCACTATAACAGCCAACATGAAACGTGATGAGGAATTGGAATTGGAACTTAAGAGTGAAATTGAGGTCATGGCCACCAACTCAGTGCAGAAAATCACAGTGAAATATGGTAATTTTACAATTATTTTCCAGAGTAATACATGCTAATTAATTTAATAGTTGTTTACTTTTTTGACGTGCTCATTTAAACCTGGGTTACATTTAAGAATCATTGTTAAAATTCAAGGCTTTTACAGAAAATGCCACATTTGATTTTTTTTTCAGACTAAGTCAAACTTGTTTTGGGATTCCGTTGTTGTCTATTGTTGCAGATGCCAGCCATTTGGAGTTTGCATTTGCGTCTGAGGTGAACACTGACACCACTGGCTTGCCAACTTCTTATTTGGTTGCGAAGTACGGCAACCCACTTCTTGACACGCGTGTGGGGCAGACTGACATGAAAGTCAGTCACATCTTTAAGAAGTTTGTGGAGGTATGATGATTAAAAAAGGTATTCACAGTTTCCGTTCAGATTTTTAATGTTTAGAATTAATAAAATACTGGTTACTGTTTTCTTAGGCAGCAAACAACTACATGGAAATGTATGGTGCTGATTTACCTTACATTCAGAACTTCAGAGTACCTGATATGCCTGAGATTTCCCTGCCAGATACATTGTTCCTGAATAAGTAGGTGAAAAAAAATCATACGGGAATTTTTAAATTAAATTAATTTTTAAAGTTACTGTCATTTTACTGGATATTTATTCCTTTTACTTTTGTCCTTACAACAGTGAGGCAAAGGCTGTCTACTATTTCAACAATGAGCGCTTCACCATCGATATCCCTCTTTTACTTGGTGGAAAATCAACCAAAGACCTTAACTTCCCTCCAGTTTTCACCACACCAACCATGTCTCTACATGACTTTGGATTGGAGATCCCCTCAATGGAAATTCCAATCCCCGAGCTCGTTGTACCCGAGAGCTTTACTTTATCTATTCCTCTTTTTGGAAAAGCTGAGGTGTCCACTCTGATGAAGAGCAACCTATATGACATGGAGGCCTCAATGGCTGCTGGGAAAGATGTTGTGGAAACACCGAGCTACTCAGCTAAGTTTGATGTGACTGGAACCTCCCCACTTGAAATCCTCTCAATAAAGATTGAAGGTATCTAATACTAAATCAGGATTTTAACACATTTGCACTTTTCATTCCATGTGAAATATTTTTTAGTTTTTAGTTTTTTTTTAGTGGAGAATATATGTGTCATTGATTTGTGTATTCAAATGATTAAACATCATTTGTTCTTCTTTTGTGCTTTTTTTAGGATCTGGAATGTTGGCCACCACTGATTCCATCAAGGCTCAATTGAAAAGCTCTTTGAAACATACGTTCCTCGATGCCATGATTAGTATTGTTGAGGATGTAACTATTACAGACAAAATCAATTTGAAATCAAGCAGTAAGATAGAAGCCACAAGCCCATTGGGTCTAAGTATTAGCTTAGAGCACAACGGTATGACTGGAATCAACACTGAAGACATTTTTGCTAGTAGCCACTTTGAGGGATCACTTACGGCTGGACCCATCTATGGCAAGACCAGTTCATTGCAGTCATTCAACATCTTCCCTTCCAGGCCAGAAGCAAATATTGACTCTACTGTTAAGCTTGACTCCACAATTGGTCAGGCCCAGAATACAATTGCAGTAACTCTAGCCAATGGTGAATTCTCAGTTGTGTCTAACACCAATGCCTTTGAAGACACCCTGACCCATCTTGCAGAGCTGTCCTTCAAAGACAGCAGGCTCTCACTGAAATGTGATGTAAATGCCCTTGCTCTTGGTATGAAGATTCGTAACCAGGCTGAAACACTTGCTGGTGCTGGTGAAGTCCTCATGAGAATGGAGACAAATGCAGACCACTCTGAAAACCGTGTTTACTCTCTGTTGACTGCTTCTCTTGACGTCAGTGGTCTGGCTGTTAATAGCGTTGCCGCCATGAAGCTCCTTGAGAATGAGGCCACTCACAAGGCTACTCTGAAAATGAACAAGGACGGTTTGACCACAAGTGGAACAACCATCCTTCAGAGCCCCTTGTCCTTGGAAAACACCTTCAACGCTGGGCTTGATGCTTCAATGGCCACTCTGTCCATTACCAACAAGGCTGCAATGCGTGATATCAAGGTTGATAATGCCAACACTCTGACCATTACTCCCGCTGGCCTTGACTTTAACTCCAATGCTGAAGCCACCGCCAGTGAGTATGCCACTTACACTCATGATATCACCGTCAACATGAAACCCTACACCACCTCTGCAAATGTTAAAAACAATCTGAACCTTCTGGCTGCCCAATTCGTGAATGAGGCTCAGCTGCAGGCAGAGCTTGGAAAGATGGACCTGACTGGAAGCCTAAAAGCCATGTATGGTGAGGAAGAGATCAAGCACATCTATCAGGTAAATTATGCTGATATGATTGGAAATGCAAAGTGCAGCACCACTGGAAAAGTCTTGGGAACACACATGAGCCACAAAACCGAGCTTGAGCTTGTCGGTCTTGCTGCCAGTATCACCAATGACGCCCGCTTCAACTCCCAGCAAATGCGCTTTGACCACACCATCCGGTGCAGCATTGTCCCTTTCGACTTAAACCTTGATGCCATTTTCAATGCTGATGGAGACATGGCCATGTTTGGAAAGCATAGTGCCCAGCTTTATGGCAAGTACATCCTTAGAGCGCAGCCGCTGGCTTTTGGTACCTCACATGAATGCAGAGCATCAATTAACCATCAGCTAGACAGCGGTTTTGTTCTTGAGACCACATTTGATAACGAGATGAATACTGTTCTGTCACTCCAAGAGCAGAGAACCAGTCTTAGAATGAAGTCCAAAATGAATAAGCATGCCTTTAATCAGGACATGAGTTTTTACAACACAGCTGAAAGAGCTGGAATAGAGGTTTCTGGTACCATCCTCACAAACATGCTTAATGAAGAATCCACTGAGAACCAGCCTTTCACCATCGCTTCCTTCCTCAGGTATGACAAGAACACAGAGAGTCAAATTATTCATTTCCCACTGATTGAATATCTGCCTGCATTCTTGGAAACCATTAAGGGTGTTGCAGTGCATGTTGCAGAGGTATTGCAAGAGTACATCCACACTGAGGAGATAAGGGCTAGACTAAAAGCTCTTCCCCAGCGTGTAAGCGACTTTGTTTCTGCCCTGAATATTGAAGGAAAGGTTGTTCAGCTGAAGGAGTATTTCAGTGATCTTTCCCAAGATTACGTCATCTCCATGGAGGATGTGGAAACATCATTGACAAACCTGAAGGTTACTGTTAAAAGCCTGAGGGCTGATTTTAGTTTTTACGTCCAACACTTTGCTGGTATGGTGAAAGACATTATTGTTAGAGTCACCCTGCCAGAAACCCTCATTCAGAAGATCCAGGAACATCTGGATGCCATTAATGAGCAGTATGAGATCAAGGCTATGGTTGTTTATATTATTGATATTGTGACGGAGGTTATGGACCAGATTCAATTGGAAGAACTGTATAGCATCAGCCTTGAATTCCTCCGTGATATTGATTACAAATATGATTTCGTGGCCAGCCTTAAAAGGATTATGAGTGAAATGAAACACATGATTGAGACCTATGACATGCAGGACTTGAAAATGAAAAACTTTATTTCGTCCATCTTGCAACAGATTTTGAGAGATTTTGAGAGATTGAGCCATATTCCCACAGAGACTTTCAGCATTATAATTGATGAGATTAGGGAAATGATTCTGGAGCTTGACGTCGTAGAAAAAATCAACACATTCTATGCCAAGATGAGGGAGTTGATTGTAAAGTTTGAGGTCGACAAAAATGTCCAGGCTGTCTTGGAAGGGGCTTTTGAGCTCATCAAGCAGTTCAGAATTGAGAAATTTATCAGGGATGTGCTAAACATGATTAAAGATTTATACATCGGATCAGAGTTTATAGGAGACTATGCTATTAACTATTGGAAAAACACTGAGGTTGAGGATGCAATTCAACAGTTCAATGGGTGCATTGAAGCTATTGCACAATATGTAAGGACTTTGGATTATAATACATTTGTGGGTAATGCTAATGAAATGATTCCTTTTTACACACGTTTTGTAAGTGATTTGACTAGGACTTTTGAAATCCCCCAGAAACTCGAGGCAACAAGAGCTTTTGTCAATCTTGTATTGTCTTCTGTCAGAGGCTTAATTGAAAACTTAAGAGAAATTAAAGCTGCCGAAATGGTTAAATTGGTAAAGGACATCATTGACCGTGTCGTAGTTGACAGTGTTAAGAGACTTGCTGGATATATAAAAGAACAAGTTGTAAATCTTGATGTCAAAGCAGAGATTACCTCTTATCTGAACTTTGTGGCAGAATACTATACTAGTGTGATCGCTGTGGTAGAGGAGATCGTCATCGATATATTTGAGGAGATTACGGATGAGATAACTGAGCAAAAAATAATCGGAGAGATTCAGCAGATCATTGAAGGTCTGATTGTTGAACTGAAGAAAGCTGAGTTGAATACACCATCCTTTATCATGCCTCTCACTGACCTCGTTGTGCCCTCGGTGAAGTTCAGCATGGATCACCTTAAGCAGTTTGAAATCCCAACTCAGCTGGACATTCCTGAGTTCACCATTGTTAACTTCTATACTGTGGAAGGCATGACAATTTCTTTTGATGACATCAAGCAGAGAATCATTGAACTTTTAGATTTCATTGTTAACTTTGAGATCCAAATGCCTGATGTGGATGCTTTCTTTGGAGATCTCACAATGAACTATCTACCTTTCATGCCCGAGATGACGTTGCCAGAGATTAGCCTTGATAGGATCGTATTCCCGACCATCCCACGAGTTCCAGTAGAAAAGCTTGTTAAATCCCTTCAGCTTCCTGAGTTCACATTGCCAACCATTCCAACTCAGATCACGGCCCCATGCTTTGGTAAACTTTATGGTGAGATTAAATTCCAAACTCCCATCTACAATATCAAGACCTCCGCGGAGTTCCAGAACTCCACTGAAGATAAAACTAAACCTCAATTCAGTGGATTCATTACTTCCCAGGCAACATCTCCAAGTTTTGAAATTCTTAATTACAAGCTTGACTCCACTGCTCTTATTGCAATCCCCAAAATGAATCGTGTTGTCCTTTCTGAGACTTTCAAGTTCAACCATGCTGCTCTTGGTGTCGAACATCAAGCATCTTTAACTCTCTATGGTCTATCGGCCCAGGCCCAAGGCAAAACAACGATTAAGGTTATCACGGCACCTTACACCGCTGACTTAAGAAACATAGCCTTTTTTGCAATGGAAAGGGGAATGTCTGCCTCCCTTGATACAACTTATAATCATGTAGTGGACCTTCCAGTTGTCAATATCAGGAGTGAGGCTACTGTAACCCAGAAAGCAATTGCTCTCCAAAATGCAGACACTCTCTCTCTAGGAGTTGATAATTCAGGCACTGCCAAAGTCAATGATGAGGAAGGCATTCACAAGAGCATCTTGCAATTGTCACTCAATCCCAGCATTTCCACGCTAGCTTTCTCAGGTGACACAGACTCAACCATATTAAAGATGAAACAGCAAATTACTGCTGAATCTGGCTCCCTTTACTACTTGAAGTTCAATATGCGCAATGAGGCAGAGGGCCCTGTCATTAAGAACAGTCTTGTCGTGGCATCTGGACATGCCAACCTTTATGATATAACGGCAGAGCTGAAAGCAAACCATCACACAGAACTGTTTGGTTCAGTCACTGGAGTCCTGTCCAACGGAATCAATATTATGGTTCGTCCTGTTGAGTTTGTCTTTGAATTTGAAAACAAAGGAAATACCAAGGTCAACATTTTTGAAAAACTGATTGCCAAGATAGATTTGCAGAATGATTACTCTGCCACCTTCAAACCTGACAGCCAAAGGATGAACACTGTACTTCTGTCTCGCCTTAATCAGTACAAAATGTTCTACAACTTCACCGTTGACAATAATGAAAAAGAGGCTGGCATCTTTGTTGCCATTGAAGATGAGGCCAACCTTGACTTCCTGACATCACCCATCAGTCTTCCTGAGGTAGACTTGCCTTTTATTGACTTCAAAAGTCCAGCTATCAGTGATCTGAACGTGTATGAGCAGACTGGATTGAAGAACATTTTGACCACCACTGAGCAGTCTGTGGCCGTGGATGCCAAAATAGTTTACCAGAAGAGCCCGGGTGCCGCCGTTGTTGATATGATGGGTCTGATCCAGATTCCCTCCCTGGGTAATCTGTTGAGTGAGCTGTCCTTCAAGTCTGCCATAATTAATCTGAATGTCAATGCGGGACTGTATGCTGAGGATGATCTTGTGTTCCGTCTGGGAGCTATCACAGCCTCTGTCTTTGAGGGTCTAAGAGCCAAACTTGATGGCACCGCCAGTCTGACCACCAGAAGGGGATTTAAATTGGCCAATTCCCTGTCCCTTGAAAATCCTCACATTCAAGGGACTCATGACAGCGCCGTTAGTATGAGTGCTGAGACTTTTCAAACTGCGATATCCGTGGCTACTGTTGGAAAGATTGTCCTGCCTATACTCAGCCTAGAGGCAAACCAAAATTTGGTTGCAGACAACAAAGACAAAGCAAATGCCGTCTCCACCATGACGATGAAGGGAAACTTAGACATCCCTGTGATCGAAGCAGTTGGAAAGGCCGAGGCTGACCACAGTCTGAAGCTGGAGGGATGCTTTGAGTATGTTTCCATGGAGTCATCTACAAAGGCCAAGATGGGTGGTACAATGCTTGACAATTATCTACTTTTGGGAGTCCTGGATGATGAAATGACTCTGTATTTCAACAAAGATGGCCTACGCTCCACCTCCAAGGTGATTGCTGATGTCAAGCTTAACGAAGGCACCACCAAAGTTATTGGCATGGATTTAAATGAGAATGTTGCTGTAGAAGCCTCCCTTAACCGTGTATATGCACTGCTTAAATATAATGGCCACAACGAGGCAAACTTATTTGATTTCCACACCAACGGAGAACAGATTGTCCAGGCCACAATTGATTTGTCCCCACCCTCTTCCATGACTGCTGACATTGAGATTAATCTATCTCAGCCAAGCAGCTTGGGTGACTTAAGCGTGTTTGAGAAAACTGTTGCTGAGGTGACAGCCCTGAAGCAGAAGATCTCTTACAATTGCAAGTTTATCAGCCCTCTGTACAGCACAGACATAGCAACAGAAGTAGAGTGTGGTACTCCCGCCTTCAAAGTCACCTTACAGTCTTCTGCCACCTCTGTCATGGTGCTCTTTGAATATGACATGGATGGTGAGTTGATCAAATTCCCCGAACATGTTTATCTGTTTTATTTAGCATGCATTTCTCAGCATTAAATCTAACAAAATATGTCTTTCAAATAGCTTCTACAACTGTAAATGTTGAGAATGAAGCTCTGAACGTGGACAGCAAGGTTGTCCTGAGACACGCTGACATCACCATAGATGCCACTCATGTCATTACCCAAGTCTTGAGGTAATATTATGCATTTGTTTTGCAATAGACATTTAATAAGTGTTTCTGCAATTCAAATAATGTCTTCCTTCTCTGCACATTTTAGAAGAAAGCGCCAGGCTGACGCTAGGTAAATATGGTTATATATGTATCTGATTTGTGATTTTCTCAAATCTTATCAAGTCATAAATTAATTGTGTATTTGTTTTTAAAATAAATTCTTCTTGCAGTCACTCTCGCCACACCCTGAACGTAGACATCACCAGTCCTACTTTCACTGATGCAAACCTTCGTTATGCTGCTGGCAGAGAAGGTATCACAGCCTCAGCATCTACCCCATCAACTGGCTTCCTTGGCTTTCAGTTCAATGGCAGAGTCCCATCTCAGATGACAGCAAGAGTCTATGGGCGTTATCCTGTGAGTATCACTAACATGACCTTTTCTGATGCAATGGGAAACTAAATATTAAAAAAATCAAAATATGGCTGAAATAAAATTTTATTTTCTTCTATTTAACAGTCTGCCCCAGAGATTGACGTTGACATGTTGGTCATCAAATCATCTTCCAAAGATGCCTCTAAAATGAACCTGCACATTGCATACAATATGGAGGCACCCAAAGTAATGCTCAATGAACTCAAGATGAGACTACCTTCCATCGTCTCAACAATCACAAACGTTGCTGACAAGTACCAGATCACAATCAAAATAGAAGAGTTGACGAACCCTGTTGTTAACCTCATCAGAGAGGCCTATGATGCTGCAATCAACTATGATAGTCAAATGAGCCAGCTGTCAATCTTCTTCAGGAACACCATTGTCCAGTACCATCAGTCCTTACAGGTATTTTTGGATGCTGTTGTCAAGGTGTTGAGGGAAACCCAGTTCAAACTGCCTGGTTCTGATGAGATGACCACTCTCCCTGTTGTCCTTAAAAAGCTGACCAGCAGCATTGCTGCTTTCATAGATATGACCATCCAGACTATCTCGTCCAACATGGAGGTCTACTACAACGCTTTTGTTGAGCAGATGGGCAGTGTGAAATTGCGCATGCCAGTTGGTGATGCAATGACTGGAGGCCAGGTTTTGGATGGAGTAAAATCAGCTCTCAAGGACATATTTGATGAACGGTTTGCCTTAGTGAAAAATATGGAGAGTCTTGACAGAATGATAGTGAATATGGGTAAAACCCTAAAAGATATTGTTGAGAATTCACAGGAGTTTGTTGACTCTGTCAACTCTGACTATTTAGAAGCAGTGCTCATTAATATCAACGTCATCCACCGCAACCTTGTCACAGTCGTAAAGAATATTGTTGATCGGATCTCTGCCCTAAATATGGAGCAAATCAGCAGTTCATTTGAGTACATTATTGACACATTCATCTACTTAGTGTACCAGTTCAATAACACTGTTAATGGTTTCTTGCAGCAAGCTTCAGAGGAGGCTCAAACCTATATGAAAGTTAGTGACGGAAGGCTTGAGATTGAACTTCCACTTTCATTCATGCAGTGAGAACTACTCATAGGCTAAGGCCAAAGTAAATAGGAAATACTACCATCTTAAAACACATACTTGCAAGAAGTATCGGCGATTTTCTCTATAACCATATTTATAACAAGAAGTTTGATGGTTTATTGTGTACAAACAATGTAACATTCTACTAAAACTCACCTTCCTACAGAGAGTGAAAACCCTGAATAAAATGTATTAATGCAAAATGAAAATGTCTCAATTCCTGTTTTGTTACAACACTGTTTGGATTAATCTTTCATAATTTATTTAGTGCCATGATTTGAGAAGTGAGTGAAACAAATAGATGAGGTTTGAGATAATCAAAAAAAGGTATACTATTTTTATCTAAATATGCAGTAGGGCCATTTAGTTGTCTATATCAGCAACTCGGACGCACTGTTTCACAATATATAAAACTAAATAGTTAACACAAATCAGAGCAGACTATCAAAGAAAAATGTGTAATGCCGCAACATCTATATTGGAAACAGGCTGGTAGTTGCCAATCAAAGGATGAACAGATGTAAAGAAAAGATTCCTCCACAATAATTAGCTGACCCAGACATATGAATCCAACCTAAAAGAACGAGCTACAACACAGACTGTGTGGTCATACTTTGGTTCACTTCTTGCTGCTTCACAAATACTAGCGCTGATGCTGTATAATGTCTTCTAACTATTGTTATAAGACATAATCGTGAGTGTATAACTATTATCAAACAGTGATATTAACTTTATTATTTGCTGATCGGCATCTTCATCCTCATCATACTACTCTACTACACACTGTACTTGTTAGAAAAAGCTTTGAAAAAAAACACATGTTCCAAAAACTTTACAGGTGGGGGAAGTACCCATTTACTTCCCAAAAATACATTTATCCAAATAATTCCCATTTTAATTGAAATTAAAACAGTTTTTTGGAGCCCTGAGGAGCTGCTGGCTCTTCTGTCGACAATGCTTCTGTAATTACTCTTACTGTAAGAAGGGTTCAATATTATATATATAAATATTAAAATAATATTATAAAAAGTATATATAAAAAACAATTCTATCTTTTTATCTATCTATCTTCTCAATCAAGAACCAACACTTTTGGCGAATGGGATTGGTTTCAAGTTGCACTCTATATATTTATACATTTTAACTCTGCTGCAGACCTTTGTCTACCCTGTAATCTAATCGGAAGTAATTACTGTCAAAAACACTGTCAACATGTGCATTCATGTTTCCAACTGGCAGGTGTATTATTGATATACTTTGATACTTTTGTAAGTCCTCATGGCAGAGCCATTTACTTCAGAGACACTATACACAGTGGGAAAAAACCCTTATTCAAACTAATTGTTAATGTGTATGGAAGAAAAAAGTGTTCCTCCCTGTAAAATATTCCTCTGCCATATTAGGGTTACATCATAGATGATTAGGCACCCAGTTGGAACAGGAACATAGTATTGTGTTCTATAACCATGTTCAGAGACATTTGATCCTAATGAATCTGTCTGTTTTTTGTGTAGAAAAGGAAGTACAAAACAAGTACATTAGTACATTAATACAAATATGAGGGTTACAAAAGTAATGCTTTGAGCCCACAAAGGTAAATTCAGGTAATCCACAAACATCCTTACGGTATTTCAGTCTGGTTAACAATACATATAATACAACATATATCATTCACTGGCTTAGTTAATGTATGAAACATTGGACTGAGGTAGATATTACAAAATGGTTAATTGCTAAAGCAGCATTTATATATACACTGGTAAAAAAAATGCACAATGTATACAATAAAATAGAATACTACTAAATTAAATGAACTAACTTAACATTAGCCTTTCTGTGTGGAGTCTACATGTTCTCGCGGTGTCTGCGTGGGTTCTCTCCAGGTACTCTGGCTTCCTCCCACAGTCCAAAGACATGCACTGGGGATCAGGTTGATTGGTAACTCTAAATTGCACCTAGGTGTGTGAATGTAAGTGTGAATGGTTGTATGTCTCTGTGTTATCCCTGCGATTGGCTGGCGACCAATCCAGAATAAGCGGTTTGCAGATGGATGGATGGATGGAACTTAACATTAGTGCAAAGGTCAAAAATCAGAGACAGGTGTCCATCATCTTTGGGAATACTGTTGTCTTCGTGGATGATGCAATCATGTTCCCAAGTTAACCTGGCCTGGCTCTAAGGAGATGACGCCTATCCTCGAAGTGCTCAATAGGCTGACCGCATTACTACTGTGCTAGAGACGACAATGCACCTTTTGGCTGTAAATTAGTATTTCTTCAGTGCGGCGTGTTCGGAATACTGCAGGTCACAATGCCCAAAGATGATGTCATGGCTGGAGCCAAAATAACTGAAGAGATTAGGGACCGGTTAAAGAACATGACCAATCCTTGGTGATCTTAGGAAACACCTGGAGAGTCTAGACAAACCGGGTGATACCTTAAAATGATATGTTGACAAAGCTCGTGGCTGTGTTTTCACCCCCTCTGTGACTGGATTTGAATTGAATCAAATTTGCTTAAGAAGGATCCTAATGGTGTGTGAGTGGCCGCCATGAAGTCCTGTTAAATGAATTATCATTCTTATAGGTAAATCAAGACTTGTGCCCAAAACAATTCTCCTCAGAGTTCTGGCCCACCTTCAACCTGAGCCAGGTGTTATCCGCCCAAATAACCCGAAACACCTTTGTAGGTGCAGAGGCTTTAAACCGTAAATCCAACAAATGTGCTCTTTGTTGTGGGGTGACAGATTCCTGAAGCCCAATACATGTAATGTCTGTTAGCAACCAGAAGGGAGCACTGGAACATATTCTTTATAAACCATTCACTGCTGCAATTATAGACTGAGAATCTCTGTGTTGGTGAATCAATTGGTACCAAAAATAGATTTTAGTGTTAGAAAATAGTGTTTGTTGGGACTGGAAATGATAATATGCCACAGTGGTAAATGTGCTTGGTTGTTGGTTCTCAGCGCCGGCCTCTTCCACAACATTGCCTAATGTCATTACCCATTTCGCCGAAAGGCCTTGTGTGTATATTGCTTATCAGCTAGTTCTGCATCTAACCAAACTTTCAGATTTAATAAATACAATTTTATTTTAATTTCAAATAAAATAAGTCATAATGGGGTTCAGCGAGTCCAGCTGAACCCCTGATTGACTTTTGGAAGAACATTGTGAGAAACTGAAACCTTTGATCCGTGATTGTCTGAGCTCAACCGTTCTAGAACACGTTATCAACTAGTTCCTGACAAACACGTACATTCATCCCCCTACAGCATGCCAGTCCTTATGTAATGTTCTGCAATAAATTAAAACCCAGGACCAACACATATGAAGTCATTCTGCTAGATCAACACTTAAAGTTAGATCAACTAATATTGGTTAATTGTCAGTTATGCAATTTATAAAGCTGCTGTTATCCTGCAGACAAACTCATATGCAACTGATGTATAGAATTAAACATGATGTGGGCAACAACAATAAGATAACTCAACAACAGGTTTACCGGGCTCTACTTTGGTGGACAGATTCGCATTTCTATAACTGTAAAATCATGCTTTTGAACACCTGGAGGAACTCAACCACTGAAATGAACAGAACTCTCTGTCCAAACTCAACAGTTTCAGCTTAAAACCAGTCTTGCACAACCCAGTTCTGCACACCCATAAGTGCAGGTGAGAAGCACGCAGGACGCAGCATAAGATGTTTGTTCGGTTGTTAAGCACTGCCATGATTGGGACACGGCCCTGGAGAGCACTCTTTTGATGTGGTTGTGTAATGACACGTCTCAAAGAATGACACAATGCCATATGTCAGACATGTCAAGGAAAAGCACAGGCGTATGTAGTACGATAATAACTCTTATAATGATTGAAATCCATGCTCCTCGCCCAGGGACCTTTTATTCAACATGTCGATTTACTGGAAGCTAAACAGAGTGAATGGATACAGCAATGTTGTTTCATGACATCATGAAACTAATTTCTCACTTCTCTGCTGTAGTGCATTCCAGAAATACACACTCACACACCAACGTAACCAGAGCAGCAAGCTGTCGGTGAAAATATTGATTTAGCCATGTTGGCATGTTATCAAGCTATCTAAATGTTTTTATCACAATTATTTCATTTATCTTGCTGTTGGTTTATAAAGCACTGAATGGTTTAGGGCCAAAGTATTTGTCGGACCTTACCTTAAAAAACCATGCCGACCTCTCATGTCGTCTGGGACGGGTCTCTTTTCTGCTCCCAGAGTCAGAACCAAACATGAGAAGCTGCGTTCAGTTTTTCTGCTCCACATCTCTGCAACGAGCTGCTAGAAAGCTGCAGGTCTGCTGAGACGCTCAGCGGCTTCAGGTTAAGACCGAAGACTTTTCCCTTTAATTAAACTAGATTCAAGGATGACATGGATGTTTTTGTTTTTTACTGTACTACAACTTTTATTCTATTTCAAGCTTGTTATTATTTTAATGTCTGTTTTTAATGTGTTAATTGTTTTAAATACTTTTATTTTGCCTTATATTTTAATGTTTTTATGTGAAGCACTTTAAATTGCCGTGTCGTTGAAATGGGCTATACAAAGAAACTTGCCTTGCCTTGAACTGGAGGAGTCACCTGAACACGCTGCAGCAGGACAGAACTGAAACATAACATGGGAGGCTGTCTACATTGCCTCCCTTCTTTTCTGTATTCTCATAACTCCAGTCATGTGCTGTGTGGAAGTGATATTCTTTAAACCAGTTTGTCCCACATTGTTTTCTCTTAGTTAAATTGCATTTAGCATTGTTATATGACTAACAAACCTGATATACTGATGATACTCAGGTTTCCCTAACGCAGCTTACTGTCAATAACAACAATTCACTGATACGAATAAGTGTAGGACCGACATTGTTAGTGTGTAACTGTGGAACTGAAAGTGTAGTTCTTGATATCACAAAGTTGATACATCCCGAAAGTTAAAATGAGTCAGTCAGTTCACTTGTTGGTCACTATTGGTCAAAAGTGTTTTCCCAGGTCATGTGCAGTTGTATAGTTTGAGTGAACATATTCCCATCTACCTATGTTTATTTATTTTTATTCAAATTTTCCCCAGGTATGTGCTTGCATCTTGGACTGTAAATCAAATTTTATATTTTACATTATACAATGTCTGTTGATGAATTGTAGTGTATTACATCAGACAGAGGTAGTTCTAATATTCATCCACCCC